GGTTTGTGGTGAAAGGAACCAATGGCAAATTACAAGGTTTGACATGTTTAGAAGACACCCCCTGTCACAAAGCAGTGTTTTACATCTGTAGTCAAAATTAAAGCTGAACTTGACACGCGCACAGCTTCTATACCAGCCCAACTAAACCATCCAAACGCTTGGGAATGGTGTGAAATAGGACATCACAGGCCCCTCCAAGGTTGATACAAGTTAATAACTTGTCAAACCTTACCTACAAGTTGCTTCTAAACCTGACACTAATTTCATGTAAATCTACCTTAATGTTGTGCTTAAAATCTAAATTGGCAGTTTTGTGCAAGTATCCAGAGCATGGTTAGTACTGTTGCTGCACAGCAAGAAGGTCCTAAGTTCAATTCCACCATCAGGGTGGGGTCTTTCTGTGTGGAGTTTGTGTAGGTACTCTGGCTTCCTCCCACAGTTCAAAGACATGCAATTATTGGGGTTGGGTTAACTGATCAACCTAAATTGGCCATAGGTGTGACTGAGTACAATGGTCTCACTGTGTCAGCCCTGTGACAGACTGGCGACCTCTCCAGGGTGTACCCTGCCTCTCGCCCTTTGACAGCTGGGCTAGGCTCATTCATTTTATCAAATGGCAAATGCCTTAGTACATGTCTCAATTGTCTCAGTGCATCTTTGCAAATGATTAAGTACACGTAGCCTACAGTTAGCCCACATTTAGCACATTTTCCAAATGAATAGATCTTGTAGATCTAAACTGATTAGTTGATTCTCAGTCTAATGATCATTCCCTCCAAAACATGTCAGCATGATTTCATTGTATAAGTACTCGCATGCACAACTGTCTGTTCAATTGTCAAAATTGGTCAAGAACATAATACCATGAATACCATATATGAATTTCTTTGAATATTTGATAAATTGATGACAGTCGTTGACAGTCAGGTGAAACTAGACTAACGAAGGGGTAGTGTCACACACAGGTGTGTTCCATGATTGTGTGCTGCCAAACACAGATATATAGAGCTTGACCAGAGCCAGTCAGATCTCTGAACATGGATAGACAAGGCCAAGCAAACGGACAAGGGGAAGTTCCTCCTCGAGGAGGAAGAAGAAGAGGACTGAGAATGCGTGGTGGAGGAATAGGGGGAAGAGGCCGCAAATAATGCCATCACATTGAGACAGATCCGCGATGCCATCCTTCAGGACAATCATATATTCCAGAATATAAACACATTAAGCATCTCCACAATAAACCGGGTTTTGAAGAAGCATCAGATGACAATGAAACAAATCTACAGGGTAACATATGAGAGGAACTCTGACAGAGTGAAGGAGCTGCGCTACCAGTATGTAAATGTAAGTCAGTTACTGGTTGTCTCTCATTATAACCTTACCTGTAATCACAGTAAGCAGCAGTTCACTTATTTGGTTTCAATACCTCCTTTACCTGATTTCAGAATCAGTATTTGCTTCATCTGACTTCAACAATTTCAATAGAAAACTGCAGTTTACTGTATGATACAATTCTCATTATAATCCTTATTTTATTGTCTCCCAATCAAATCTATCTAATACTGTAGGTTTTACTGTAACATCTCAGTAAGTCATAAGTATTTCCCACTCCCCTTTCTATCAAATATCCCTGCAGTACTTCCTCATAGGCCTATTATAGTTTAGAACCACTGGAGTAGTGGCCTGTGGTATATTGAACCTGTGGGGGAGAACATGTAATTGTCTAACTGTAGTATATGACTCTTCTGTATGACTGATTTTATGGTCTTTACTCTATTTTAGAGAATAATGTCATTGGAAGGACATGAGACCCCTCACATCCTGGTGTTCGTGGATGAAGCTGGCTTCAACCTGGCCAAGGGCCGAAGACGTGGCCGTAATATTATTGGCCACCTGGCCACAGTGGATGTCCCAGGTCAGCGAGGGGGCAATATAACTATGTGTGCTGCCATTTCTGAGAATGGTGTAGCCACTCACATCCCCAGTCTTGGCCCATACAACACACACAAGCTCCTCATCTTCTTGGATCGCCTTTATACCGATTCTATCCCTGAAAATGAGAGAGGTCTCATAGGGCCTCACCTACCCATTTATGTAATTGTGTGGGACAATGTCAATTTCCACTCATTAGGGGCTGGTTTGCAACGCATCCAAGGATGGTCATGGGGTTCCTACCACCTTACTCTCCTCAATCCGATAGAGGAGTCTTTCTCTGCTTGGAGGTGGAGAGTGTATGAGCATCATGCTCAGGATCAGCCGTCCCTGCTCCATGCTATGGACGCAGGGGATGGTTGCGGCATGCACGCCGTGTCTTCCCTTGTTGCATCGCAAGAGAAAGTATCCGCTGTGATGTGGACGAGAATCTGTGGCCAGACGGACAACAGCGTGTAAATAATCAGGAGGGTGAAGACAGTGGACAAGAGCGGGAGAATGAGTACAGCGACCACTGAATAAGTCCTTGTTTTTTGATTTTGTGTTCATACAATTTACTACTGTAATGTACATTTTCTTTTTACATATGTATGAAACTTTCTTTGTGTGTGAATAAAAAATGGTTATAATTTCCTTGGTAGTGTGAGTGCAATCTGTGATGGAGGCTACTCATTTCTGTTGTATATTGTTGGTTCTCTGCCATAGTGACAAAACATCTAAACATTTTGTATGGCAGCACTCACACAATGCCAAAGGGACGATGCATTTTGGGGGCACTGACTATTCAGATTAGAAAGAAATGTTGTTTTGACACGAGTGAACTGTTTTAGGAGAGATATGAGCTTTTGCAGGTGGATCATGTTGTTGTGATCAACCATCCAGGTTTATTTTGACAAAAGCATCACGAATGATGGGAATGTCCGATCTGTGTCCAGAAATGAGCCAAAGCTATTGAGAAGGATCTTTGCCATTTTGGAGACACTGACTGTTTAAATGCGAAAGGGATTTAGATTGAAGCCTGAGTGAACAGTTTTGGAAGAGATATGAGCTTTTGCAGGTGAGCTATAGTGTTGTGCTAAACTGTAAGAGTGTTTTGCCAAATGATCTTAGAGTTTTGAGAATGTAATTTCTGTTTCAAGAAATGAGCCAAACCAATGGAGAATAACTGTAGTACAAGGCTAAGCTAGGGGCTGGTTTCCTGATGCAGGCAGGCTTCAAACACCAGCCATGAATGCTTTTTTTCTCTCCTTTAAAACCTTGGCATTGCATCTGCAGTACAGATCACTTCAACCCTTGTGTTGTCCTTGGGTCATTTTTGTCCTCTAAAGAAATCTTTTGCTATCAAAAATCTGTTTTTTGTTCATCAAATGGTCTGAAAATATTGTAAGGTAGACCCTACAATAATACATAGAAAGTATGCTCACAAGCCTCCATTGCACTAGAGATTTGCATACTTTGATCAGCATACTTTTTTTTTTACCATGTTGTGCAAAGCAATGACCAGTAGGACAAAGCATATGTTGTCCTCTAGTATAATGAGGAGGGAGAATCACTGTTCAGGAACATCCAGGGTTAGAAGATATAGAAAATATTGTCAATATATTTAGAGTATGTGATGCCAGGTCCAGCTGTACATGGAACATGCTAGAGTACAATGTCAAATTATCTGGCCTGCAGTCAGGACACGCGAATTGTCCCTAACATTGCAGGTTTCAAAAAGAAAACAATCACCTGTAACAACTTGTTTGTTGGCCTGCAACTGCAGAAAAGAAAGCTGTCCATGATGGGACCAGTGCAGAGGAATAAACTTGAGCTTCCTCCTGCACTTGTGTCAAATATGGACACACCTTCGTCCTCATGAAAGTTTACCTTCACTCAGACCCATGCCCTGGTGTCCTACCATGCCAAAATATAGAAAACTGAAGGGTAATGAGTTGGAATAAAGATGAATAAAACCTTGAAACACAGAGATGGATGATATTTTATATGCATGGCTTTATAAACAGTCAAAGCAAACGGGGTCATTTTTGAGCCCAGAGGACAACAGATGTGATTATTTGCTGCCAGTAAAAAACTTGAAGTAGTTTAAAAACAGCTTTCTAAATTAACTTTGACATAAACCCATCTGTGATCATCTGTTAAAGCAACAGACTCTGGTTGTGAAATGATAATCACAATAACTGATGATTTAATTTATTTTTTACCCGAAAACAAAGAAAAAATTCATTTTTATGAGGTTTTTATCACTTAAATTTGAAATGGAATAAAAAAAAAAAATTGTGTCAAAATGTTTGAATTGAGTTTTAATTAAAAGTGGGGAAAAAATCCACTTCATATTAATTAAGTATCAATCAAACTAGATGGAGACATTTTTGACCCCTGAGGACCACAGGTGGGATTATGTGCTGCCATTTAAAATTTATAAAGGCTTCAAAAAACAAAAAAAAAAAAAACTTTCTCACTAAAGTTCAACATACAGCACTCTGTAGTTAGTCAGTCAAAATTATCTAATCAATTAAATATTTTATTTTCTTGTTTTATTTCCACTTGAAAACACAGTGAACTTTATGTAAACAAGGTCTGGTGGCCCTAAAATGTTGCCTAAATTTTGTGTTAATGTGTTGGTCTTAAGTAAAATTAAGGTGTAACACTGAATTGATTGACAATTTATACTTTATATTTTAAAAAACACTCAAATGAAGTGGGGACATGTTTGACCACAGGTGTATGGAAATCGGGAGGACATTATGAGGGTTAATTACACCAACTACTTTGTGTGACTCGACTCAGCCCAGTGCAATTACATTACCAGAAGCACAAGACATTAGAAGCACCTGATTCTGTTAATACCACTGCCCAACTATTGAAGCAGAATAGTGTTTGAGTACTTGAAATTCACTTAAAAGTACCATGGCCATACTGTGGATTCCCATGATGCAATGAGCCTCTTCTCATTTACCACTACTACCTATCCAAAGCGCTTCTATTGACTTTCTCAGTAAGGGCAGTTTGGCTGATGAGAACGTGCACTCCTTAATGTTCATGTATGTTTTAGGAAAGATCCAGAAAGCTTTAAATTGAACATTTTTAACAACTGTCTTTATTCAGAGGCCATCAAACATGATTTTAAAGTCCTCGTGGCGTCTTGAAGTTCATCCCGATGGACGGCTGAGTGACTTGAAGATTGGAAAGGCCACCAAAGTCCTACAAGAAGAAGAAAGTTTTAGTGATTTAAACAACCAAGTTAAAAGCTGTGACATGACAGTTCAGCTAGCAATGACACCTCAGACTAAATAAAAACTAATGATAAACAAGTGACTTTGTTGCCCAGACTATTTCTCATTTTTACCCCGACTGGATTACAGGTGGATGCAGCCATTGTGATTCTGAGTCCATAAACTCAGAAAAAAGTTTACAGAAGTCACAGAAAAAGAAGACATGCCAGTGTTTTCTGTTTCTATATTTATCTTTTCTCTGCTTTTTAATGTATTGGATTCTTAATTTTGCTCACCCTGCTCTAACCACACACCACAGCCTAAATTGGACGCATGACGTATAAATATGGGCATGCTTTAACTCTGCAAAGACTCAGTCAGTTAAAAATGTAAAAAAATGTAAATGTCAGTTAAAAAACAGGTGATTGCTCCACCCTTTTAATGCACTCATTTAATGTGTGTAGAACTACTTCCTTCCCACCCCCACTAAACACACTGGTACTTAAATGGCCATTATTGATAAATTACACCTGGCAATTTCTTTGCAATGTGCCCATTATGTTCTCTATCAAAATATTAAGTGTTACTAACGGAAATCATACGTCAGGGTTCTGCTGGAAATTCAGAAGGACTTTCAATTATGTGGCAACCAAATAAATCAGCAAATAACATCTGAGACTCACCAACATCTTGAGCATTTCTTTTGTGTCTGGATCCACCTCAATGATCTCCTGGTCCAGAGCAGAAATCTACAGGATGAGAGACACAAATGAGCCACCTGAACTGTCCTTTCACCTCCATGTTTACTCCAGCAACAGCTGGAGAGAAATGCTCAGTGACAACAAAGATGCTTAAGGAAGCCCGTGGACACTCGAGCGGCAGCTCAACGTAGCCCGACACGAGGTGCGCAACCTAAGGCACGGGGAGCACTACAGTCAGCCATCACAGGTAGGACAGAAGACAGTGAACTGACCTCTGGGACGTAGTTGTCCCTCCTCTCTCTCTCCTCCTCCTGCAGCTTGATTGAGATTCCTCTGACTGGACCGCGCTGGATACGCTTCATCAGGTGTGTCACATACCTGAGACACAAGTGAGCACAAACATGCAATCAGAAACCTACAGCAGATTAGTACACATTTTTTCTGACTGTAAGCAGTTCACATTTCTACGTACTCCAAACCTCCAGCAGCAAAATACAAATGTTTCTAAGTTTAACTTTGTTTTTTTAGAAGTTTTATGATTTAACTTTTGTTCAACATGTCTGAAGTTTTAGTTAATTCAGACCAAACACAGAAAATATTCCAAACAGCAATGGTGGAGTTTAAATGAGTGGCTACTGTGCACCAGTTCATAACAGAAGCACATCACACACACAGAATCTAACAATCCGTGAAAAATGACTTCAGCTAAAAACAAGCACTTCACATGACTCGTCTTCCAAGCTCATCAAGTCGTTTAACCTGCAGAAACGTGGTGTGAAACTCATACCAGCTGAGTCTTTTTTTTTTTTTAATGAACCAACCAAAAAACCCCAAAACAACCTCCCCCCGAATCACATTAGGCTGACAGGCAGGCTGGACAGGTCAGCAGTCTGTCAGGGCTCATTCCCACTCACATGCACACTTAACTACATTTTGAGTGTGAGAGGAAGCGGGAGTACCTGGAGAGAACATGCAAACTGCCTAATGGCAGACTTGAACCTGACCTTCTCGCTGTAAAGCAAATGCACTGTCCCCAACCCGAATCACATTTAAACTTTATTGCCACTCTGTTACCTCTTGAATGAAGCCGGTGAAGAACCAAAGAAGATATATCAGCGCTAAATCATGTGAGTGTCACCTTTTTCTCAAAGAAAAATTAGAAAACCCAAAAAGCAACCCCCCCCCAAATTAAAAGAAAAAAATTAAAAATAGTAGATGCCACTCGTATAAAACACAACATATCAATCTCATTCAATATCAAAAAACAAACACGCACAAATGAAGACAAAGCCTGAATTCAAGAATAAAACAGTGTTCATGTTTCATTGACATGACGAGCTGTAGGAAATCAGAGGGAGGAATTCTCAGAGGTTCTGACTTGGGGTGCACCATCTCTGCACCCCAAACATGCAACAGCTGATTGGAAAACTTCATTTTTTTACGCCAACAGCTCCACATGTGCTGCTTTGCGGTCCTTCAAAATCCTTACTTTACGTCACTGGAAACGGATTACATAAGCATTTGCCTAATGCTGATTGGTTGACAAGGGGCACAGATTCGGGAAGTTTGTTTTCACCATGAAAAACAACTTCAGAGATATGGCATGAAAAGCATAGACAGTGTACATTTTTCACTGTTTTTAAACAATCTGCTTCACTTCACTCTTCTCCATGGCCAATGGGCCAACAGTAGACAAGCAAGAGTGGCCCACAGACCGGTTATACCACATACTTTGTACACTGCCTCCATCTGACAACAAAGCTCACTGCAGGTAGACGGGCCATCCCTGGACTGCCAGCGAACTGCAAACACCCTACCCCTGCTGTCAGACTGAGGTCGGATAAAGTTCAACATAAATTAACCACTAGTTTTTGTTTTTTTACATCCGTTTTGAGCCACTTTAGGACAAAGGAACCACACCAAGGGGAAAACCAAGCCAGATTTTGATTTAAAGCTACACTTGGAAAAAATTACTACCATCTACAAGTCAGCTAGCTAAACGCTTGGCCCCACCAGACCTCAAATACATCTATGTGGGCTGCTCTGACATTCTCCTGTGCGGTGTGCTCGGACAGGGACAGAGGTTCATAAATAATGTTTGATCTCTCAGGATAGTGAAGCTGTGCTGAAGAAATAACAGCATGTTGTAGCTGAAATCCTCTGCCTTAAATCTGTGCTTAACAAATCATGATCTGAGGCTAAAGCAGGAGTGCACACAGCCGAAACCCCACTCACCCTGCAATCTTGTTACGCAGAGGTTTGCTAGGGATGATGGCGATCTCCTCGCACACCCTCTTGTTGGTGTGGAAGTCGTTGCCCAGTCTTGTGTAGTACTTCTCGATGATCACCCTGGCGGCCTTCTTGACCGTCTTGGTCCTGACTCGACCCTGGAGGAGGAGGCACACAGACTTAGATTTCGTGTGTATGAATTGCTGAAGAAGGAATTTCAAATATCTTCACTGATTCCCCCCAAAAACACGGTCTGGAGTTTAAAAACTTTGGCATAAGAGAAAAGGTATGACAGCTTTTAGTGGCAAAGTGTGTCACAGGTTAAAATTACGTAGTGACAGATCATATGACGGAATGTAAAGTGAGTTTAAACGTCTATAAATCACATTTAACGACTTATTTAACAGACGAAACTTACATATTTAGACATTAATGGCCAATAAACGTTAAAACATATTTTGAGTACATTGAACACAAACTCATCACCATCAAGTCACCGAGCAGCTAGTCCCCGTGCAAAACATTGCCACGGTAAAGACGGGTAAACGGAAGTCAAGTTGTCCTTATGAACAAACTTTCCTCCAACAACTAACGGACATTAACTCGGTATGAGAAGCATACAAACACGAGCGGAGCCAAACTGTTGCCGACTGCCCGTAAAGGTGCACCGCGAAACTGCGGCTTGGTGCCCGGTTACTTCGGGAGCAGTCAGTCTGTGTTTACATGGTTAACGCCACCAAAGTGCGTCGAAAACCCGCTTTTATAAATCTTCGTGTCGCCTGTGTGCAGACTGACGGTAGTATCCGCTCGGTGACGGGACAGCCAGTGAGGATTGTGAAGGATTGTGGAGGACGACTAGATGAAATGCTTTCCGTGGACCCACCATGTTGACTCGGACCGGTGGAAAAGGGTTAACGCACGCTCACACCGGAAGTTTATAGTTTAGAGGCTGCGCTGCTACAGCGTAGTGAGCAGTGTCGCCGCCTGGCGGTGGGAGGAGAAAACATCACGTTACTGTGAACTATTTTTTTGTTATGCACATAAATCAAGATTTGGGTTTCTATCTCAAAATTTCAATTTAATAAATCAACATTAGAATTAGGATTAGTGTCAGGGTCACGGTTAGTGTTGAGCTGAGCCTTAAAAAACTTGAAATGCTGAGAAAATCATTCCAACTGATGCAAAAGAAAATTAAATTAAATCAACATTTTGAGATTTGAACCAAATTTTGTAATTTTGTCTTACAGATGACAAGTTGACCCACATCCACCCACATCCACCCATCCACATTAAGGGGACGGCTGTGGAGCGTGTGAGCAGCTTCAAGTTCCTGGGAGTCCACATCTCCGAGGATCTCACCTGGACGACCAACTGCTCCAAGCTGGTCAAGAAGGCTCACCAGCGCCTCTTCTTCTTGAGGACTCTGAGGAAGAACCACCTGTCCTCAGACACCCTGGTGAACTTCTATCGCTGCACCATCGAGAGCATCCTGACCAACTGTATAACAGTCTGGTACGGGAACTGCTCTGCCTCGGACCGGAAGGCGTTGCAGAGGGTCGTGAAAACTGCCCAGCGCATCGCCGGAGCACCACTTCCTGCCATAAAAGACATCTACAGGAAGCGGTGTCTGAAAAGGGCTGGGAAAATCATCAAAGACCCCAGTCACCCATCACATGGACTCTTCACCCTCCTGCCCTCTGGGAGGCGCCACAGGAGCCTCCGGACTAAGACCACCAGGTACCGGAACAGCTTCTTCCCCACAGCTGTCAGACTCCTGAACTCTGCCTCCTGACATCTGACCCACGTTAAACTCATGGACTGAACATACACACACCCACAATGGACAACTGTACCCTCAAACACAATAATAACATGGACTGAACCACCACTCACAACCACTAGCACTTTATATAGCCTCTGTAGAAACTATCTACACCCTCACTTATCTTAACTGCACTACTGTATAGCTCTGTGTAAATAATCATTCTGTACATTCGATAATCTTTAATCCTACAACTGTTTACAACTTGCATAGTTCCCATTTCTGTATAGCTGTATATCCCAGATTCTGTAAAGTTATTTATTTCATATTCTGTATAGTTTTTCATATTTATATCCTGTTCATATCCTGTACATAGCTTGTACTCACTACAGCCTGTACATACTTATATAGAATATTCACAACATACTTCATACCGTGTACATTATAACATACCATAATAGACCCATTTCTGTAATATACTCACATATCTATATTATTGCTAATATATATTGTAATATATCTATATCACTAAAGCACTTCTGGATGGATGCAAACTGCATTTCGTTGCCCTGTACCTGTGCATGTGCAATGACAATAAAGTTGAATTCTATTCTATTCTACAAGTTGCTTTAACAGCACAAACATTCGTTCATATGCATACATTACTTTGCAGCAATAAAAAAAATTGAGAAATAACCAGTTACTTTTTTTAAATTACAGTCACCATTTCATGTTTTTAACTAATTAGACTGATACAGTAAATTAAAACCTGGAGTGCACTGCTCAGAGGTTTAACATTTTGCTACAAAATGAAATTTTTTGTTTATTTTCAAATATTTTCTGTGCAAAGCAGCCCCAAGGGACTAAGACTGTCTCAGTCCAAGATGAAAATTTGATTTTTGAGCGTGAAATATATTTTAATATATTTTTAATTTGCTAAGTGACAGTTTTCAAGCTGTCTAGCAACAAAATATAAATCTTAGGAGTAAAGGGATTTATAAAAAACATTTAAAAAAAGAAATGTGACCCGTCTTTATTAAAACCATTTCACAACTTACATGATAATGTAGCTAAAACTACGTGCAATACCTTATTGTGACAGATGTAAAAAGGAAACTTTTGTCAAAATACCTCCAGCACCAGTTTGTTTTGAAATGGTCCGTTTACATTGGCCGGCCATAATGGTGTTAAAAACCTTTAAAGAGCAAAATCTGAGTTTGTTATGAAATTCCAATTCTAATTCAAAGCCTGCAGATTGACCTTTCCACATCTTAATTCAAGTGAGCTAATTTGTGTATTTTCTTTCCTCAGCTATTTGATGGTAAAAGCTTTATTTTTATGAGCCACATTCTTGTTTTGGCTGCTGTGACACAAATGTATATCTTTTATCAAACCATCCAACTTATTTGCAAGACTAATATTAGACATTTGCCAGTCTATAGGTATCAGCATTAATATCAAACCAATACAATTAAGAAAAAGATGGGAGAAACACCCTTCAACCTTGTAGGAGGTGGTGATGCACTGTTTGTCCACCAGAGGGCAGTATAAAACTTCCACATAAGGAAAAAAATATTGGCTGATATCTCTAATATTTTGGTCTCCTCTATCAGTCAAACTCTAAAACAAAGTAAAACTTGTCTTCAAACAGCTGACCTGATAGAAAACTTCAAAGATCCCTATACAGACACTGAGCTGAAAACAGCATTTCTGGTTTTTGAATATGAAGGTCCAAATCTGCTGGGTTTATAAGTCACACACATTAAAAAAATTGATCAAAGTCAAAACATTTCCTGAAGCAGACTTTACAAAAATCACGTCACAAGAGACATGCCCACAAGGTGGAGAGATCTTTTATTTTACATAAAAAAGGGTGCAAATTGGAGTTTTCCCTTTAGGTGTGGAGGGAATAAAAAGTGATTTTTATAAGGTTCATGTGTGACACATTGTATTATATGAATCCAAAGAGAAAAACAAAAAACAAAACACAAAATAAAATATAGGCATCTCAGATAAAAAGGACCTTTACCTTTCTGCAAATCAAAAATATGAAACCATAAAAAGAAATGTGGGTCCTTCATTCTTGAAGCCCTTGACTAACTCATTCAAATACATTTTTGAAGTGACATTCATATTTCAGCACAATAATATTTATTTACAGTTTTAAGATTCCTCTTAATCATAGGCTCTAAAAAATAAAAACAAACAATACCGAGGGAACAGGATAAACTCTGGAGCTGTACAATTTGATTTTCCACAGTCAGGGGAAAAAAAAAACCACAAAAAAAAAAAAAAAAAAAAAAAAAAAAAACAGAAAAAGGAAAAAATGATCAGAGAATACGATTTTATATGGATTCCCAACAGAAAACGGACTACAATTGTGAACTCTGTACAATTTACAGTTCAAATAATCATCACAATATTGTAGCAAATGTCACCTCTCCCTCAAAAACAAAACAAAACAAAAAAAAAAATACAGTAAATCCAACACACAGTAAGTCTACAGTACAGCAACGAGGAAAAAGTGCCAGAGAACCCAAAGAGACCGAAGCCGTTCATTCACACTTCACACCGTCCTCTGCTTTGACTAAGTTCCACACATCCAAAGTCTGACTGAAGTGAACTGTGTAAGAAATAATGGCCGCTGAAAAGGAATGAAGACATGAAAATGTTTGATGTATTTTACATGAGGCCTGGAAGCCAAAACTGACTCACTGACCCAACAGTATACGAGCCCTACAGGTGAGGAAATTCGCTGGAGACTGAGAGAGAGAAAGATAGTCTCCAGGTAAGCCATGCAGATACAAGTCACGCAGAGCACTCCTATACCACTCTGCATGAGGCCAACAGTAAGAAAAGCGGATACATCAGAGTAACATATCGAGCATTTCAGCCGGGAGCTGAAGAGCTGGACAGCCTGCAAGCTTTAACGGAAGAAGAAAATGTCGCAAAGATGATCAGTCACAACATCCGACTCGGGAATAATAAACCTGGTGTCCGGTTTCTCTCCAGTGACATTGTGAATGAAAGAAACCAACAGGAACGACTCGTGAAACACTTTCACTGCAACGCTTTGCTGCGCTGAGCCACGTTTGCTCGAGGATTCTTCCCAAAAATGACAGCGGACCCCTTCAAGGACACATGGTGGAATGCAATCATCCAAAGACAGAAAAAGCTAAAATAATAAAATATTCAACTTCATATTTTCCTGGCACAGGTAAAAGGCATGGGCTAGTAGTAGTCTCAGGAAATGGCACTCAGGGAAATCCATGGGGGGAAAGACTGAAGGCTACAGTCTGGATATCCATATCAGAATACTTTGAGTTTTTTCCTCAGGCAGCTGGAATGAAATGGCCGAGCCGTGTTTGTCTGGGAAAAAATAAACTTTAAGAGGCATTAAGACATATCAGAGACATGAATACCTGTCATTCAGATAGCCTGGTTTTCCCACCGTTCCCCTCAAATCCTGTGTGTGGAATTACTATGGTAACGCCCAAGAAAAGAAAAGGGGTAAAAAAAAGAAAAGAAGAAAAGGTCCCGTAGATTTTCAAATTCAAGTACTTTCAATAACACAATAACTTAGACCCCAGAGTAACCAACATGTCAGGGGTTAAAAAAATAATAATAAACTGGAAGCTATACAGTGTAAATACATATAACAAGCAGGTTTACATACTGATTCATTGAGAAATATCTGCAACATCTACAACATCATATTTCTAAAGATGATGGAGACAAACCTGAAACTCCACTCATCTTGGTCTTGGATGAATGAGTGTGTGTGTGGACAGAGGGAAATGGAGTGAAGGGAAGCCGTCATGGCACACACACAAACAAAAAAAGTGGGTGGGGCAAAAAAACAGAAGAGTGTGTGTGTGTGTGTGTGCATTCCCTGCACCCTATAGGGAAGGCCTAGCACACGAGGCAGCTACAATTAAAGTAATAAGCACATTTAAAGTACAGTATTAAGAAGGCAGGGTCTCGTCAGGGAAAGCCGGGGTCAACAAATGTAGTGCAGTCGTGGTCTCAAGTTTTTTTTGTTTGTTTGTTTAACCTCTCTTTCCCCATAAAACCATGGCTATTTGGAATGAAAAAAAAAAATTGCATTCAACAAATTCACATTAGCATAAGATGTAAAATTTAAAAGAAAAAGAACACACATATGGTAATTCATTCTGTTAGGAGGATAGGCAAGGTGACGTACTGAGGATTTTGTTTCAAGGCAGTCCTCCGTGACACTAAATAAAGAGTGAGAATGGTACAGACACGTTCACTTCTCCGCCCTCTCTTTTCTCCTCTCCCGGTGCTGACAAGGAGAAGGGGGTTCAGCAGTCGTCCAAACGTCACCACTTTGCAGCACGTGGGGTCTTCACACTGGTACGCACAAGGGTAACTGGGGGACGGGGGACATCTGGGGGACATCTGGAACACCATTACACATCATTACACCAAAACGTTCCATTTGGCATCACTTTCTTGGGAATACATCTTCAGTGTGTCAACAAAGGGGAAGTCGTTAACTGCTCTCACACTAGCTGGGAACAGTCTGGTACTCTTTATTACACAGGATACCCAAAAGGGGAGGGGACGGGAAAAAGAAAAGGAAAGGAAAAAAAAAGACACTGAAATCTCACATTAACTATGCCGCCAACGTGTCATCCAAGTGGTGATGTGACTGCGGTCGGTTGGTCGGTCAGTAGGTTGGTCGGGGGGTTAAGGCATTGGACAGAAGCGTTTCAGAGGCTGTGATTCTCCAAAAGTGCCTCATCACTTTTTCCTCATGTTATTCCAAAGCATCCCCCAATGTCTACAAGATCAACAACATTTAAGACCCTCCCACCTAGTTTTGGTCACCTTTTTTTTTCTTCTTCTTCTTCTTTTTTTTTTTTTTTTTAAAACATTGGTCTCAGCTCCCCAACTGCAATTTCATTCCCGTGCACGTGACAGATTATATAAATGCTTTAAAGTCATTTATTTTACTGTCCATACATTCAGTGCGTATGTTTAAGAATTAGTAGGAAAAACTGGTGGAAACCGAGAGATAAATAGCATAAATAGCATTTGTTTTCCCACCCCCCTGCATCTACAAGTGTCATGTTGCTGCTCAGCGAAGGGTAGGAGCAAAAACTGCAGGAGAGTCCAAAGAGACTGTAGTGTGTTTTGACAGCAGCGAGGTTAAGGGAGCACTTTAACCAAGCAGCATGAGCAGAGAACACTGTACATGAGGCGTCTCTGTTTTCTGATGTCTCAGGCCCCGGTCCCAGTGCCAGAGTTGACCTCTTTGGAGGACGGGGGGAAAAAGAAAACAACAACAACAAAAAATATAATGTGCAGAGGCCAAATGGCAGACTGATGCTCTTTGTGCCTGTATGTGACGATAGGCGGTTACACTCTTGGCTCTTCTTGTGTTACATTCAGTTCCTACATCAGGAATCATCATAAAGGGCTTTGTGTCATAATGAGTTTGCAAACTGAGGGCAGGATGCATTTAGGAGATTAGAAAGGAACTGAAGATGATGATTTTATGAGTCAAGCAGGAATCGTAGTGAAGCAAGTTTCCACAGGAGGTGCCATCTCTTCCTCTTCAGGAGAAAAAAAAAAATACTGATGTTGGGAGTCTTGGGGGAAGAAGGAAAAAAGATTATCCTCTGCAAAATTCCATCAGAAAGGTTTTTTCCCCATTTGGCTGACTGACCTGCAACACAACCCGGCACAGCTTGACAGAGGGGTGGAGGGCGAAGAAGAAGAAAAAAGACAACAACAAAAAAAAAATCCCACAAGAAGACACAAGCATCTTGTACATCTCAGCAAACCGTTTTTAAAACTTGTCCAAAAAACGGAGAACAATTCAATCAAGATCTCTCAGATGACTCCCTCTTCTATTCTGAACGGGACCTTACTGATTTCGAATAAAATCACAATCGACTGAGCCAAACAGCTGGAACGTTTCAGGCTGGTGCTGCGTGATCATTTTTGCCGTGGCGTGTTCTTCTTCCGTTTCCGCTTGAAGAAACAGCAACACCTGCAGAAAGACGTGGACGTTAAATGAGCGCGTGGATGAGAGAAGCACGAGAAAGAACAAACACGGCAGTGTGTTAAATATCACAGGAGCCTCATCTGAGTCTTATTTCTTTGTCTTTTAAACCAGAACAGTAAGAACTCAGTAACACCTTAACATGGACACGATGGATGTGTTCCCATCCACCAAGCGTTTGCGTATTCACCTCCCACCATTTTAACAGACAAATGGCAGAGGAACAAAAACTACAAACTGACTCTGAAGGCAATACTTCTAGGTAAAATCTTTAAAAATAAATTAAAAAGGAAGCAGTGAACACAAAAGTCACAGGACACGGTGAGCCTGAACGGTTAATAAGAACATACAAAGACAAGAAAAAAGCAGATTAGGACATAGGACAGTGACTGGGTACCCTCAGATTAATTTAATATTTAACAAATAGTGGTGTTCCATGCAAAAAGGCTGTAACCTAAAGTCAAATGTTTAGTTATAAAGGAGCCATAATTAAAAAGACAGTTTTTCTTTCTGGCCTGATATTATTTATTAATGTTTGTCAGGCAGCAAGGTTTACTAAATGCAGAAAACGGGCAGAAACTTGGCAGTAAACACAGCTGACAATGTTTGTGGGCACTATATAATATGCACCAGTGAGAGTCTGGTTACATTTTGTAAATAACTCCACTGGGCCCAGCCTAGGCTGGTCCACTCCCTGTCCCATGAGTCTGATGTGGACGAGCAGAGAGGGACTCACCACAGGTTGAGCATTTTCACGCAGCTACAGAAGGAGGAGAAGGAGGAGGAGCAGGAGGAGAGTAAAGAGAAAAGAAAGATAGATTAATACAGCGAGACCGAGATGATGGGGCTGGGAACATGCCACACAAACATGCACACACATGCACCAACAGGACACAGGTGGACACAGAGACAGAAAGTTAAGAGAGGTTAAAAGAGAGAAGGTCACAGAGAAGGTCACAGAACATCCCTGCAGCTTATTATGTCTCCTAGAATTCCCGGGAACGGGAGTGATACGGCATCACGTTTTGAGCATGTTTCTAAAATGTTAAATCCTTTAATAAAAGCTGCTTGGTGTGTAGATCATTGTGTCCTTATACTTACTTCATTTTCTATGTTAAACACAATGAACCACAAGAGTTGACATTTACGTGCTCACTTAAACTGGGCAAATGTGCACTGTGGGTGGCTGGACTTTTTAATGCTACAACAAGTACTAACATAATGTAGTGCAACTATTTTTGTTTAGTAAAACAATTAACTAGATTTGTTCTATCCCATAAATAGGTGAAAATATTAATGCAAAAAAACAAAAAAAACCCCGAACATGTGGGTATTCAGTCACATGACCACTAATCATGTGACTTTAACTTGTCTCCTATTTTGGACACAGGATGCTGTAGAGTCTAATGGACCAGTTTCTAGGCCCACAGGCCTAGTTCCACTACAGCTCAATGTTTGCAGACAAGTTAGTTTCATGCAAACTACAAACGACCGTATCAGTATCATTAGCGCCCAAACCGAGGTTTTCACTGCGACGCACTCTTTGTGACTACTTTCACATGGAAAAAGCCGGCAACAGCCAGCAACTACTTGCCAATAAAGTTGGGGAGAATAGACATTTTTCCCTAGCAACCTGTGTTTGCCAGATGATCACCAACCAGTCTCTAGGGCTGTGCAACTGAGGCTTAACATTTTAAACTGGTCCTATGAAGACAGCCTTTTGTCTTTTTTAGATTGAGTCCATGATTGTGAATAAAAATGTCGTATTATTTCAGCTTAACTACACCAAATATTTCCTATAAGGCCAATTTTAAATCAATTTGCCATCATTATGTCATTAAAAAAATAAAAATAATTTTTTTGTTTGATGGGGCATCAAAGAGGAGATGGGCACAAAACACACCAATCATAATATCACGCAATCGTGTGAAAGGAGACAACAGCAGCAAGGCCGGCCATCTGGGCAGAGACAGAAATGAATGCACATTAAAAACAGAACACGCAGCTCGGAGATTCAGGAGGCGACACTTTATAAACACTGTTGTTAAAGCTGGTTCATGGTTAATCGCTTCAGCATTAAACTTTCCCAGACAGCTGAACTGAACTTATCTAAAACATGTTCATAGGTAATTATATGTAAAGCATATTAAAACGCAGTACACAATGAGTGATTTTTTTCCTGGGGTGTTAAGGGGTTCAATAGTGTGCTCGCTCTCATTTTGATGTGTTACTAGAACACCAGTATATACATAAACTACATGAAGTAAGAGCATAAAATGGACCAGCAATTCAGCAAGGTGTTCTGTTAAACACTTACTATTTATTTATATATACACACTGTTACAGTTTGTCAGGGACGTGCTATGAAGTTCAGTCCTCACGACGTTTTAGCGGTCGAGCAGCTGCCCGAAGGCTGCGGCCAGAAATGTCTTAAAATCATCAAAACAATTTTGTTTTTGGGTTAACTACTTCATTTTTTTTTTTAAGGCTCAGTTGGGCTGTTGCTGATTCTGAGGTTACTTACTCAGTGGGCCGGTTATTAAAAATTGATTTTAATTGAAGAAATTTGTGAATAATTGAAATTAAAAAAGTAAAAAGTAAATATCCTCTGCTCAAATTTTGTTTATTTGCATGTAAAATTAAAAGTTACGCACAATCTAATTTGTTTACTTATATTTCTTTTCTTTTTTTAAACTCCTCTATTTTTATTGGTCTTATTTGACTTTGTTTGATGTCTGGACTTTAATGTAAAGCACTTGGAGCTGAAAGCGCTGTATGAAATAGGCCCAGCATCATAAATCTTTCCACCGCAGACTTGAATCTAGACCAGTCAAGTGGTCCAGTGCTGAAGTTAAATTGGAATGGCTGCCTCCCTCAATCAATATCATAAAGCATGGTGGAGAAAGAAAATGTGTTTAAAGTTGATTCCTACATTTCTGTTATTACTTCCGTTTCAAACTATGCATCTCCTCATTATTATATACTGTTTAGTCTGAGAGCTGTGTGAATCCTAAGAGCTGCCCTCACTTCTTGTCAGTCAGACGAACCGTGTGATCTTCAGCTTGCACAGCAGTTTTTTCAGTGACTGGCCAGCCATGCAGCGTGGCACCATTCCAGCTGCTGATGCTTAAGACTGGCACCATTTACCGGTTAGTTCCTGCTACCAGCTCAAACCAGTGCCAACACTAATTTCAATGATTTTTACACTACAGTGGGGCAAAAAAGTATTTAGTCAGCCACCGATTGTGCAAGCTGCCCCACTTAAAATGATGACAGAGGTCAGTAATTTGCACCAGAGGTACACTTCAACTGTGAGAGACAGAATGTGAAAAAAAAAATCCATGAATCCACATGGTAGGATTTGTAAAGAATTTATTCGTAAATCAGGGTGGAAAATAAGTATTTGGTCAATAACAAAAATACAACTCAATACTTTGTAACATAACCTTTGTTGGCAATAACAGAGGTCAAACGTTTACTATAGGTCTTTACCAGGTTTGCACACACAGTAGCTGGTATTTTGGCCCATTCCTCCATGCAGATCTTCTCGAGAGCAGTGATGTTTTGGGGCTGTCGCCGAGCAACACGGACTTTCAACTCCCGCCACAGATTTTCTATGGGGTTGAGGTCTGGAGACTGGCTAGGCCACTCCAGGACTTTCAAATGCTTCTTACGGAGCCACTCCTTTGTTGCCTGGGCGGTGTGTTTTGGATCATTGTCATGTTGGAAGACCCAGCCTCGTTTCATCTTCAAAGTTCTCACTGATGGAAGGAGGTTTTGGCTTTAAAATCTCACGATACATGGCCCCATTCATTCTGTCCTTAACACGGATCAGTCGTCCTGTCCCCTTGGCAGAAAAACAGCCCCATAGCATGATGTTTCCACCCCCATGCTTCACAGTAGGTATGGTGTTCTTGGGATGCAACTCAGTATTCGTCTTCCTCCAAACACGACGAGTTGAGTTTATACCAAAAAGTTCTACTTTGGTTTCATCTGACCACATGACATTCTCCCAATCCTCTGCTGTATCATCCATGTGCTCTCTGGCAAACTTCAGACGGGCCTGGACATGCACTGGCTTCAGCAGCGGAACACGTCTGGCACTGCGGGATTTGATTCCCTGCCGTTGTAGTGTGTTACTGATGGTGACCTTTGTTACTTTGGTCCCAGCTCTCTGCAGGTCATTCACCAGGTCCCCCGTGTGGTTCTGGGATCTTTGCTCACCGTTCTCATGATCATTTTGACCCCACGGGATGAGATCTTGCGTGGAGCCCCAGATCGAGGGAGATTATCAGTGGTCTTGTATGTCTTCCATTTTCTGATGATTGCTCCCACAGTTGATTTTTTCACACCAAGCTGCTTGCCTATTGTAGATTCACTCTTCCCAGTCTGGTGCAGGTCTACAATACTTTTCCTGGTGTCCTTCGAAAGCTCTTTGGTCTTGGCCATGGCGGCGTTTGGAGTCTGACTGTTTGAGGCTGTGGACAGGTGTCTTTTATACAGATGATGAGTTCAAACAGGTGCCATTCATATAGGTAACGAGTGGGGGACAGAAAAGCTTCTTACAGAAGACGTTACAGGTCTGTGAGAGCCAGAGATTTTCCTTGTTTGAGGTGACCAAATACTTATTTTCCACCCTAATTTCCGAATAAATTCTTTACAAATCCTACCATGTGAATTCATGGATATTTTTTTTCACATTCTGTCTCTCACAGTTGAAGTGTACCTCAGGTGCAAATTACTGACCTCTGCCATCATTTTAAGTGGGGGAACTTGCAGAATCGGTGGCTGACTAAATACTTTTTTGCCCCACTGTACTTGTGTGCTGTAGAGATTGTAGTCTATGTTAATGGTTGATTGGCTGGGCACAGGCATGAGGGGGTGCATTAGTTAATCTACAGTACTGTGCAGAAGTCTTGAGGCAACCCTTCATTTCTTTATTTTTTGCTGCCATGGAGCCAGGCTTTCCTGTAATTTTTTAAGAGCTCTTGAGCAATAGTTCTCCAGGCATTCTGTCGGCCAGTGGCTGCTTTTTTTCTTCAGTATGTTAAACCACTTAACACTGACCTATGAATCACTCAAGGATAAAATGGCACCTAACTCAAAGGATGAACTAGTGTTGTGTCTACACATAAACAACTTTGCAAAGAACTTTAGGCATATTGTTACTAGCAGCCCATCGTAAAAACAAAACTTGTTTCCATTTTAAGTTGAATCTAGGAAAAATCTTAAAGATAACATAGTTTGATAGATATAAAATAGTTTTGTATTTTTTCCTCCACCAGGGTGATTTCCAAAGAGCTATTAAAGAAATGAGGGCTGGCTTTTACTTTTGCACAGTACTGTACAATGGCTTTTTTTATTTTTACAGAAAAGGAAAATTCACTGAGGGATATAGAGACTGGTTGCAGATCGTAAACCCACACACCCAGACAGATAAGAGGGGCAGGTGGAAGATGACAGCTGGTGGCTGGAGCTGTCACAATTCCAGACAATAGCAAAAGGAGACAGAGGGAGGTAAAGAGGGAAAGAGAGGAAGCGACAGATGGACATGGAAGAGAGTCGTGGTGGCTATATGACACATACTTGGCCTCGTCGGGCGGATGCTCCTCTGGCGGAGCTGTAATTGGGGCGTTGGAATGAACAGCCAGCGGATCGTCTGCATTCAGCTCCCCGTTGGTTGAACTGACCACCTGTGACACAGACTGGTGTTAAGTTCAGTTAAACCACTTATGTTTGTCCACACAACAGATACGTATGGAAAAACCAGATACTGCTGTGACAGAAAGTTTACCTGGTTAACAAAGAACAAGTTAACACAAATACTCTAGTTCATTTAGTTTTGCTTGTATTGGGAGAAACTGGTTTCGTGGCAGCAAAAAAACAAAACAAAAAAAAACCACAACATGAAGAAAAACCTGGCTTGCAGTCTGTGAATGGTTCTGCTATTTTTTTTTTTTTTACTATTTTGTAGCTTCAAGTCATACAAACATAGTCTTGTTTGTTATCAGTGTGTATCGATATTTGCCCCAAAACAGCAACGAGTCACCAAAGTTAGAATGTTGAAATGCTCCAGAGAGAAAAAATAAAAGACTTTCAAGAGTCAAAACTTAATCCCAAAAGACAGCACAGGTTGGGAGGGAGGCAAGCAAATTTCAGATTGCAGTAATTACAATATCACGTAAATACAGGGCTGTAGCTTTCCATCAACAAACAAGCTGTGTCCCTACAGTATACAAGGGCAAGGTCTCACCAGTGACCACACCTGAAACTAAAGTAAAGACTTCACCAAACATGGGCAATTACAACTACATGTAGAAAACTCATTTTAATAGATTTGTATAGAACAGGGGAGGGCAACTGATTTTCCCCAAAGGGCCCATGAGAAACTGGGACTACTGAGAAGGGCTGCACTGGTAAGCTAACAAAGAAATAGTTAATATTGAGCAGAACTGAGTTCAGCTTATTGGTGCAGTCCTCAACAGTCTTTGTTTATCATGTGACCCCTTGGGAAAATCAATTGCCCACCCCTGGTATAAAGCGAAACTGCACCAACATCTTTCTGTTGCTTGTGGAATCCATTCAGCAAACCTATAGACTCATTACTTAAAAATAAAACTAAATGAGTAAAATGACTTCTTAAACATACATAAGAGGATTGGGGCCACTGAAGAAAAAAAAACATTATTATTATTTTTATTATAAGTATTCGTGGGTGATGACTCTTCCACCCTTTTCGGAATTCTAAAAAGAATCAGAATTTTTACTTTTCAGCCTCAGAACTCTGGCGTTTTCTTTAGCTCTGTGAAGAACTAATCAGGATTCTGAGATGAAAGTCAAAATTCTTAGTTAATAAAAATAAAGCAGGAATTCTGGGGAGGAAAAAAACAAAAAAAATCACACCCCTTGTGACTGTAATCCTGCTCTGTAAAAAACCATGTTTAGATGAAGGACAAATCATAAAATCAAGATGCCAGTAGCAGCCATTTATTCTTGAACTTATGAGCCTGTAAAAAGAAGCAATGCTTTTATTTGTCACAAAAATGGGTTTGTGTGTGCCCACATGCACTCATGAGTACATATAGATCGTGAAAAGTGGAGTGAAGTGGATTTGTTGGCTTTTTGGACATATTTAGGAAAGCAAACATATCTTCTTTGATCTACCACAATGAAAATTCTCAATATTCCTGTCGAGGAGAAGTAAACACTTGGTTTCAAGCTAGTATTGCGATGTTAAGCATAAATAATAATTTCTTGTATGCATTCTTGAATGCAACTGTCCAGACATATTTCATATATGAAATGTGACTATTGTAGCCAATCTCATAACCCTCCATGTGTTCTTGCTCGGCCTTGGTGGATTTGCTGTGTGCTTACAATCATTACACTGTTAAAAGGTGACCTCCAGGATTAATAGTTCAATCGATTAGCTTTCTAGTCCCTGGGGAAGAAACCCCAAACCATATCTACCGACATGCTTCACACTGTGTGTGGGTCTTCTCCTGAAAAGCTCTTTGGTCTGTGCCAAACACATCTACTCCTACTGTCTTTGATTGGCCCAGGGCCTAGTAGGCACAAAAAGACACCTCATTCAGGCATCCTTTTTTCCCCAAATGTTTGAATTTATAAGAATCCTGACAGGAGACTATGCAAAGGATAGGACAGGACAGATAGGATAAGACAAACTAGCAGTGCAGATGGTGGGGTAGTAAAGTGTAGCCAGACTGTAAAAAATTAAATGTGACTGTACGTCTACTCACACATTTAATTTCATTTCACATCACGCACTTGTTGTGGACTCACTTTATCATACGCAATCAGTCAGCAGTATTGCTCACACATGTGAGCCAAGGCACCATAGAGACGAGTAAAATCAAATCTCAACTTGAATTCCACTCAGTGTGTCTCTGTTTCCCAGAAAGGCACATCCCAGATGCCTGAACGAGTGTCTAATTACGAGCACACCTATTCAGTCTTTTTTTTTTTTTTTACCTTCACTGAACTGAGAGAGAATTCCTGAGCTGTATAATGACTTTTAAGGAAACATTTTGTGCTAAAAAAGATATTAACTTGGCTTCCTTTTGTTTTTTCATGATACAGGAAGAAAGAAAAAAAAAAAGAAAAAAACACAACAGAAAGTCCCTGCCTGCCTCTTTAAAAGCCAAGCCTGTCTTGCTGATATGCTGACTTTTTTCCCCCCAACACAAAAAAAGAAAAGAATTGTGTTTATCTGTAAACTTCCAGGTTTACTTGCCCAAATATATGAAAAAAAGCCAACAACTTCCCCTTACACTTTCACCTGATTGAATATGTACGCATCAGTAGATCAGGATAATATACCTGATTGTGTACGAAATGTTGGAAAAAAGAACATTTAAAAAAATAAATAAATAAAAAATCTTTCTGTAACAGTGTAGCAGTTATCTTAAAGGAAATAAGTTGCGTTTGCATTAAAGGACAAGAGAGATTTCAGTCTTTAATGATCTATACTTAAACGAGTTAAATAACTGATTCTGATGTGTAATATAATAAAGCCTGAAAAAGCCAAGTCTGATGACCACTGCGTTGGTCACAGCACCCTTTTCTCCACACTGTGTTCACAGAGTGCCATGCTTCTACCAATGGCACTCCAGGGAATGATCTAGTTTCACAATGTATGTATAAAAATGTTTACATTTCCAAACTATTTTTAAGTGAATGCCATTTAGTAAAAGGAATCCCCAGAAGCAAAACAAACCCTGTTGAAGACCGAGACAGTCTTTGGAATGGGCTAGGAGACAAAATTACTAAAATATGTTCCTTTAAGCATAAAGGCCTATAATGGTTTAGAAGCATGCAATTAGCTAGCTATGCCAGGTCGTTCTGCCATGCAGAAGGCTTCTTGATCTTGCAAAGAATGTCCAAGCATCATGAAGAGTTGTAGGACCGGAGATCAAAATGCCCCAAGAAGGGCTGCTGTTTATAAAGCTAAAATCACACTTTCACCATCTGGGGTGGGTAGCACCAGATGACATGCATATGGTGGAGCAGAAAATTAACATTTCCCAGCCAGGGGCAAAAGGGTTGGAGGGGGGGGGGTATATGGTTGTAGATCTGTCTCACACATGAAGCTAAAACACTTAATAAATGCAATTCATGTCTGGCATAAAGCATTAGTAACTATATCAGTGTTTTGTGATTATTATGAGCTTTTAGATAATGAAGATGAATAAAAATGCCAGTTCAGTAGCAAAATTATTTGCAAAATAATATGAATTAAATGCTTGAGTACTTTGCTAAACACGAGTTTCCTAAGTATTCATAGTTGTTTAACTCGCAAATAAAATATTTGTCTCAAAATAAGACTAATCCCTTGAAAATATATCGTTTCCCCAAGCGGGGGGGGAAACAAATTGTGTCACAAAAATGCCTTTGCGTCTTTCCCTTCCATTTACAAGCCATATTATGAGTGTATTTATCTTTGTTTGGATTATTTGAGACAGATCTGACTCCATGGAGATTGGGTGGGGGCTGCCGGTTGATCAGGTGAGGGGTGTATACCTGCACTGAGCCCCCGTGCCTGTCCGCTGTCAGGTGGGAGGTCAGATAGGAGGAGTTTGCTTGGCGTGCGGGCTGCACCTCCCATGCTCCTCGTCGATCTGAGGCTGCTGTCTGCTTAGGAATCGGGGGTGGCGTCGGTGATGTGAAGGGAAGTGGGTTTGAAAGTGCAATGGGAAGGGGAGGGGGGTGAAGGAAAGATGGATATTTGGGTGTGCGAGGCAAGGTAACCATGCAAAGCAGCATGAGATATGGAGAAGAAAAAATAAATAAATGAACAAAATTGAAAAAAAAAAAGTAAATCAAAATCATAGCAAGGCTTCAGCCATAAAACTGAATCAGAAACTAATGAGCCTGAAGCCTAATGGAGTTAAGCTCACAGGTCTCAAACTTTGGCCTCAATCTCATTACACCTGAATAACAAAAAAATAAGCATGAACCACTAACAAGTAACCTATTTAAATGCTCAGAGCTTTATAAAGCCAGCAATTTATTTTCCAGCTCATCTTCATACCAGCAATGAATTAAATTGGATTCAAAGCAAATGTGTTTACACACGCAAAACTGTAGATCAAATTCAACCAGACTAACTAACAGCTATTCAAGTCCTTCATTTGTAGCATAGACTGCGACAATTCAACCCTGGCTCTGAAATTTGCATTTAAAGCACCCAAATAGCATCGAAAAGCAGGTGCACTGACAACATGGGCACAAAACCCATATATACCCAAAAAAGTTCTCCCTAAGTGCCTCTATTCTACACTGTAGAATATGTGAATGATTACAAAGCTTTATTTCAGTCAGCCTTCATCTTTGTGGGCTGCTTTTAATTACCAGAATTTAGTTTCATTTAATTTATGGTCTTAAACACTTGCCAAAAGTTTATCTACAATATCTAAAGCGCACAGTAAATCCAAAAACACGAAGGCAAAGATGACTGGGATAAATTTGCCCTGATGCCTTAAAACTAATTTTCCAGCATTTAAATATACAGAGATGTTCAAAAGAATACTTGCATAGCACATCCTATTGTCACTGCATGCACATAAGCTTTGCTTGGCAAAGAGATCATACTACAGAGAGTAAAGGGAGTTTCAGGCTGTAATGCACCATGGGTCCATCCACTGGACCACAGCATGGCAAGAAGCAGTTTGGTCCCCATTGCTCAACCGGACGTACCTGGTTTCTGATTGGTGGGTGCTGTGAGGGTCGGTCTCTATGAGGATGGCTCTCTCTCGTGACTGCAGATGCTCCAGAGTCTATATGGACAGACCCCACCGGTGTGGGCTGAGGGGAATAACAATGAATTCAGCTCTGCAGTCAAACAGGTGAAATTACTGACATGTAAAATGTGATCCGTTACTCACAATCTGCCTGCCAACCCAGTCGTAGGTGTAGTCAAAGGTGTATCCTTTTCTCTCAAACAGTTCCGTGAACAAAGTCCTCAAATATTCATAGTCTGGCTTTTCAAAGAAGTCCAACCGCCTCACATATCGCAAGTAGGTGGCCATCTCCTCTGTATTACACAGAACCAACAAGAATGTTCTCACCTTTCATGAGGATAAATCCGTACAAATTGTGTAGTGGGACGACATTTAGATCATTTTATCTGAAAAATCACGTTACATCACAGCCAGTATTCACACTATCAAGGCTCACAAGCTGATCCAAAAGTGAGATTACAGCCATCAATAGCATACCTGGAAAGTTCTCACAGAGGACCTCGATGGGAGTGTTTCGTTTTGTGTCTCCAATCTTCTGGTATCGTTCTTTCAGTGTGTCAGCCTGAAAAAGATTCAAAGCAAAGTGTTTTTTCTTGTTTAATGTGTCTGAAGTAAACGCTCTCTGAAAAATCAACTGAGCTTCCATGACTGGAGACACAGCATGATACTACTGATCACTTTATTGCCATCAAGACCATTTAAGGCAGACCTTCCCAAAGTGTGGGGCCCGCCCCCTGAGGGGGGGCGCAGAGCCATTGCAGGGGGGGCACGGTATGAAAAGCAGGGGGGAAAATGCTTGGACACTGCTAGCACGGGGCGCCCACACAAACGCAAAGTAGGAGATGAAGCATCGCTGAATAGGTTTCCAAACCAACTTCATTCTGAGCCAAAGACTAGAAAATATGGTGAAGCATATCTTCCCTTTGGCTTCACCTGCACAAGTGCCAAGGTAGGTCCCCTGCAGAATTGCTTTTCCCTTCGTCGGGAGCACGCGCTGGGCTCTTCAAATCACGGACAAACAGTATCCCACATTCTTGATTTTTAGGTCACACACACACACACTTGTTGTAATGACTAACTACTCCTGACATTTTGGAGATGTTAGATTTTTATACAGTAAAGTTACAGCGGGATACAAATAACATCAGACTGATCCTGCCACGATTTGTTCTCTCGGTTCAAATCACGGACTAACAGTATCCCACAGTTGTTTATGTTTTTAAACCCATTTTGCACAGAGAGGCATTTTTTGAAAAATTTATTGATAGCAATGTTGAATATTATTACACAGGGAAAAAAACAACTACACGTAAAATAATCACACCGTTATGCCTTTGCCTTTGTAAATGGAGGGACAGTAACTGCGTGTGTATATGTAAGCGTGTAAAACCTGCAGATAGAGACAAAATACTGTTAATCTGACTATCTGCAATTCTGCAATTCATCTCATTTAAACAATAACGTGGCGCACAGCGTGATGTGAAAAAAGGCACAGACCTTTGACGTTGCGTGACCAACTCTGAGATTTTTAAAACTCCTTTTTTGTGTTTACGTGTGGACGAGGAATACAGTTTTCGGTGATTCGAAACGCCGTTTACATGTGGACGAAACAGCTGCGTTTTCAAAAATACCCGTGTAGGTGTGGACGCAGCGTAAAAGAGTTAGTAGTTTATTTTATTACTACCTGTAATTTTTAATTGTTTACTTAATGTTTGAGGTGTGAAATAAACCGCAATGGAGCAAAATAAGGGTGTGTGTGGTTGGAGGATGTGTTTGTGCGTGTGCGTGCATGCTTGCGGGGGGGCGGGGCATTTTTCTTGTAAAACAAAGGGGGGCCTAGCAAAAAAAGTTTGGGAACCACTGATTTGAGGTTTCTTGTTGCATGTTCAATCAAAGTAAGGAAATCTCAGAAAGCTGATTCTGGTCATCTGGACGTAGCGTTTTCAGTGGGAGAAACGTTTTGTCAAGTGATGAACAGAATCAACTTTCTGGGAGATTTTCAGGTGGTTAAGCAGAAAGGATTCAGAGTAGTAAGCAAAGAGGAATAGGAAGCTTACTGCTTCAATTAACAACCAACTGTACCACTCTGTACACATTAGCCTGAAGAAAAGCTTCTAAAGATTATGAATTTTGAACTGTGAGCACAAAATAACAGCTGGTTCATTTTCAACTGTAACCTTTGTTTAGTCTTTTTTTTTTTTTAATATTCATTAAGAAAGACTTAAATGTGCCAATGGAGAGATAAACACAATGAAAGCTGAAGTCTTCGGAAGTACATTTTCTCAGTCATATTGAACAGACTTTCAGCACATGCCGCAGCTACTGATGGGTAAATAATATAAATTACACAGCAACTCAGAGTGTGTTAGAATTTAAGGTTATACAATGACTAGAGTCCTGATGAAAGAATCTCGGAAACTGTCAATATACTTTACATACCTTTAGCCCTTGCCAAGGTAGACTCCCACGAAGAAAATACATGAACATGTGGCCCAGAGCCTCCAGGTCATCTCGCCGACTTTGCTCTGTATCAATAGATATAACATCTCACTGACACAATTCAACAACTATGTCCCAAACAGACGTCCCAGAACAACAACAATAAAATCATTCTTACCTTTGCCTAAGTGTGTATTGATGGACATATATCGCGCAGTACCAGTTAAGCTCTTGTGCTCCCGGTAGGGAATGTGTTTTTTGGTCTCGGGGTCGATGTACTCTTTGGCCAGGCCAAAGTCAATGATGTGAATGATGTGTTCCTTTTTATTTCCTTGCCGTCCAATGAGAAAGTTTTCGGGCTTTACATCTCTATAGATGAGATTTTTAGAGTGCACATACTCCATTCGTGAAATCTGGTGATGAAGAACACATCAGTCATGGTAAATGATTGGCCACTAAATCAGAGTCACAGTTATTGAAAATGGGTTTTTCTGCTGAACCAAGTTGACATTATTTTCTCAGTTATAATGAATTTCAGCATTATGGTTTATTTAAAAAAAAAAAAAAAAAAAAAAAAAAAAAAAAAAAAGCACGACAACTTTTTAACACTTAAGGTTAACTTGTTGCACTTACAGTGGAATCACTGTCTTTTTTTAGGAAAAAAATTAAAGGTGAGCAACATAATAAATTCATAATGTGAGGTGGCTGCGATGCAGTCTTTAGGAAACCTCTGTGCTGAGCTTCTATGGAGGTCTTTACATTTTTTTCAGAGGATATCTATATTACAAGAGCACTGCAGTTTTTGTGCTGACAAAATGAAACGTCAGAAATTTTGATGTGCATGAGGCGCCTCAAAGACTGGGTTATTACACCCTCTGAGCTGCTCAGACTTTGCGCTTCACGACAGCTTCCAGTCTACCCAAATCTGCCCAGAAGAATGCATATACTAACAGATTGCTAATTTGCATACTCGGTAATAGGAGAGTCACTCTCCACAAGCTCCAAGAACCTCAGGTATTCAGGCAAGACTTGTAAAATCAGCTATATGGACAGTTTACTCAATAAGAATCATTTTGTACTGGGAATTCTGGAGCATACTATAAAATGTAAAGGCTTGGTGGATTAAGCCTCTGAAATATCCAGCCAGGATAGTTTTTGAAACAAGGGTTCATTCCTATAGTATGAAAATGGATTTTACTGAAAATATGTCATTAACTGGAAATGTAAATTGTGCTGAACTTGCCATGCAAATTGTTAAACTACAGTAAACATTTTATTTTTTGATTATGAACTTGTTAGTCTAACTCCAGCTACTATATTAAGTAGCAAATAGTTTTGTGCCATTTCTGCATATAGGCTGATGGTGATTTGAACCATTTCATAGAAATTTCACAGAGTTTTTATGTTCAATGTATTTGATTTCATCAGTCATAGTAAGTGAGTAGAAGTTTTTGTGATGGTGTCATACAAAGCTCCAAACCCACCAGCTGAATTGCTATCATTAACACGGTCTTCAGTGAAAAGGTCCGGTCGCACAGGTCAAAGAGGTCTTCTAGACTTGGGCCAAGCAGCTCCAGTACCATGGCATTGTACTTCCCACAGGGCCCAAAGTAAAACACCTGAGGCACACCTTCTGCTAAAATACGAGGAGGAGAGATATAAAAAATTACAAGGAGACACAAACCCAGTAGTTGCCTTTATATATGTTATTTATTTTAAAGTATCTAAAAGTAATCCAAGACAACTCTCAAAAGCTGGGGTAGTAAACATGACATACAGAAAAAGCTCAGTGTTTTTCATTTGTATACAGTATTTAAAATCTGTTTATTATTCCCGTCTCCCTTGACTAATGACGTTTCCAACTTGGGTCCAAGGTCAACCATAAGAGGCCCTCAAATGGACCGATAGGAGGAGGAGCACTACGAGGTCGTTGAGGACAGAGCGCTGCTAGGTAAACATTAACCCTGAGGTGAAATACTGTGTCATTCTGCCTCTGCAAGCTGAAAACTAATCTTTTCTCTGGCTCATATCACAACCTCCCAACTGAATTATGATCTGTCTGCTCTACTCACTCTCACTGCTCAAAAATCCTGTCCATCTGTCAACCCGGCTCTTATTTTACCTCTTGCCACAGTGTAATTTAGTCTTGGGTGATCAGTCCGATGCCACTGGAACTTGCATAAAGGCTAGTGCTCTTTTAATTCTTTGTATGTGTAATCTGGGAATGAAAGCTCCTTCTAACAGTTAAACTTGGGAGGGGGGGGGAGCGCAACATGTGCACTGATTTCCTCCTGCAGTTTTGATTTCAATTATAGGCACGTCACAGAATCTAAATATATATTCCATCTGCAGGATTTACAGTTATATGCACATGCAATCGTAATTGGTGGTAACATTTGTATTCTTTGTTGTTATCCTGACCACCGCCTGAACTTTAGTTTCAAAGAACAGGAAATCAGGTCAAACTGTTAACTGCCTTCAGGGAAGCATGACTCAAAGTTTGGCTGTGCTTACTTCTAGTCAGACTCCTATTAAAAAGGTCCTCTCAAGAAACTTCAAAGGGAGATCCAATCATAAGGACCTTGCTATAACAGAATAATAAAGTTATACTCAGTCCTTGGACATACAGTATAATTGCAAAGTTAAAAAAAAAAAAAAAAAAAAAAAAAAAAAAAAAAAAGATCCTAAAGTCAGTCTTTCAATCATCAATCATCTTTTGCATCAGACTTTGAAAGTAACCGTCTTCTTTCGTGTGTGTGTGTGTGTGTTGCGATGCAAGTATACATGTAGATTAGATACATATGTAGATTTAAAATGCATCCATCATTAAAACTCCTCTCATCCAAACAACCCCTAAGCAAATAGTTTTATAGTGAAATCTAACAAAGCTCTAATAGTCCCTTTAAACACAACACTGAAATGTAAATTTGCATCTCTCTTTCAATGGACAAGCTTGAATAGAAAAGAAAAGAAAAAGTTATGGACAGGATGTCAGTCCCCATTGTAATGGTTTGGTTTATTATTATTATTATTATTATTATTATTATTATTATTATTATTATTATTATATGCCATATGAAGGTGTGACGACACTGTTTGTTTTTCAAAATAATGGCAAAACAAACCGACAAAAAGCTAAATACAAATAATACTCCCAAATTTTGTGCACTGATGTATTTATATTAAACATGTTGCTGGAGACATTTGGCTTGCCAGCTGGGTAATGGGAAATGCACTGCAGTATGAAAGGTGGTATAAATGCTGTCAGCAAGCATATGGGCATGTAGGAGTCATGCTGCGCTCCATCCTGTGCTTCTGGACACCATTATGTAGTTCTGTGGGTTGCTAATTGTACCATAGGAATGAGTGGCTTGAAACCCTGTGTGCCTGTGGGAGGCCTAAAAATGTGTCAGATTGGAGATGTGCGGTAAATAAGTTGATAAACAGTTTAAAACAATATGGATCTAGCTTTTAACTAGCAATGGGGATGGTCAAACCACTGTTGTCTACAGCACAAAAGTCAAACAAACATTAAAGACTGAACCTTTTTGTCCACAACCACACACAGCAATTCCACAGGAAAACTCAAACGCTGTTGGAAGCTACCAATTTTGCAGGTACCACTTCTCTCTTTCAATTTTTGTAAACATAAAGATTGCAATGACTGCTCTGTGTGCTCACCTGGACTGTAAGAGTTTCTTCAGTATTTGCACAGAGCATAGACAAAGTCTGCATTTTCAACAAAGTGGACGGGATGCAAAAGTGACTGAATACGGAGAACAGCACTGAGGGATTGCCTTTATTAGAGCAATATTTTGAAGGAAATATGCACCTAAAACCTGCACAAATCTACACATTGCTCGTGAATGCATGATAAATGAAGACAGCTCATCCTAGCCAAGACACACTCCCCCATTTATTCACAGGTTGTGACACTGAAATCTGTATGTGCAATTTTTCAACCCAAAGTCAAGGATCAAGTCTTCCACAGGCCCAAAATGCCACATAACTGTCATTTCTTTGGTAGACATGCGTTGTGGACCAGATTGCACAACAAGAGTGCTGAAACGCATCACAGAAAGACTGTGTGTGAATGTGTGTGTGAATGGGTGGATGACTGGATATGTAAAGCGCTTTGGGGTCCTTAGGGACTAGTAAAGCGCTATATAAATACAGGCCATTTACCATTTGTAATCAGGTTAGAAGAAAATGAATATCTTACAGAAATTAATTTTGGATTAGTGTGTGACGCTTTCTCTGTGAAGATCGCATGTTCTCCTTATGCATGCGTGGGTTTCCTCCCACAGTCTAATATAACGCAGGTTTGGTGAATTCGTGACTCTAAATTGACTGTAGGCGTGAACTCCCTTTTCTCACTATGCTCTGTGTGTGTGTGTTTGTCAGTGTTGTGAGAGACTTTATTTGTCCAAGACTGTACTGCGCTACGCGTCAACCACTGTAAGCTAGGAGAGACTCCAGCCCGCCATAACAGGATAAGCAAATCAAAGACTGGTGGACAGATTTTTCCACTGTATATTACTAATGGGTGGGTTTTACTGAGAAAATTGTGAGCAGGCTCCTCGTGATGGTTCTACAGCAGCTCCACACCAAACTCCTGGAATACAGCCAGCTCCTGCCTGATGCAAGATTTTGCACATCGTGCAGATCCATCTTTGATTGGCTGCCTGCACTACTGATATAGCCTGCGATTGGTTGCTCAGCTCTACCCTCAAATCAACATCAAGCTGGCCCCTTTCAATTTCTAACAGACGTATTTGCTGGCTTGCTTCTGTTGTTCAGTGGCTGCTTTCCCTAAACCTGTGCAGATGGCTGTCAATGTGCTCATTTGTTGGACCAATTATTTGACTACTGTGGCATTTTGTTACACATATTTGCATTTCACCTGTAAAAGCTCAACAACCAGCATATCGTTTTTGCTGTTTTATTAATTAATTTGAAATAAAATCTGAATTCTTTTAACGGTTTCGTGAAATAAATATCATTGTTAACAAAAAACAAACAACAACAACAACAACACTAACATGCTTTTCCATATTTTCAGTCTACATACTGTTATAAATGGATGTGGACATATTTACCAATAATGCAGTATGAAATGCAAAGCAATAATGCAGAGCTAAGAGCAGAAAAAAATGGCCTTCTTGAGAGAGTTAATATGTTAATAATAATAATATAATAATATAATAATATAATTATTAATATAGTTAATAATAGTTAATATTACTCGCATATATGCGAGTAACAGAGTTCAAGCATTACTCGCATATATGCGAGTAACAGAGTTCAAGCATTACTCGCATATATGCGAGTAACAGAGTTCAAGCATTACTCGCATATATGCGAGTAATGCTTGAACTCTGTTAACTCTCTCAAGGCCATTTTTTTCTGCTCTTAGCTCTGTCTGATGTCATAAAGAGTAAAGAGCCAGATCTCTCAGGCACACAGAGAGGCAGCCAGTCATAAGAATGGAAAACAGGGAGGGTGGTCTTAAAGATGAAGGAACTAAAATGGTTTGTTTCAGTCAGAATGAAGTAACGGTCTGCACTCAGGTCCAGTACAAGATAAACAAGGGTAATTTTGAACTGAGAATTGTGCAAAGCCACTCTAGGAGTTTAAATGAGCATAATGAATCCCCTTGAAAATGCTGTGCTTCCTTTAAGTGACAAGAAATCAACATCTGTAATTATACAGCAACTATGGTGTTAAAAACAAACATTATACTCTATCATTCTATGCAAAAATAAAAGCTGCAGGAAAATCCTGTGGTTCTTTTCGATCTTTAAGTCTCCCTTTAAACACACTCAAGAACATTGGGCTCTTTAATTTCTAAAAGCACACAAAAACACCACTTTATGGTTTCTCTAATCCCTCATTTTCTCTAATTATTTTCACTCAAATCTAACTGTGTAATGAAAGAAGCTCAATTTTCTTCAACATATATCTATGATTTCCCATAAGTGGGGACACACACACACACACACACACACACACACACACACACACACACACACACACACACGATAAAACCTTTGGCCTTTTCTTTACATGTCGGTAACATCTATTAAACTGTGTCACCATTGGACATGTTTACTCGTTGTGCCCTGCAGTGCTTACAGAGATGGTGTAGTGTTTCATGACGAGGTCTGCCTGCCGATACCTTTAACAGCTCAACAATCTCCACCCACCCCTGAACAAACCCTCACGCTCTTAGAAACATTTTTGCCCTCCTCACAATGCTGTGTCATAATCTCACTGGCTTGTAAAACCAAAGCGATGATGCACCCCTGATTGCGATGGCAAATATTAACTGCAAGATGATGCTTGATTTTTAATTGTATCATCCTCATTAATATCCAGCGATAGTTGTTTATGCATCAGATAACAACACCTGACAGAGCAGCTGAGTCAAACCACATTAATTCATAAAGACCCCATCATGCAGACATTGTGATAACCACATTGGCTGAGAGGAATGTAGCACAGTACACAGCCAAGAAGAAATGAGGTCACGTTATCCCATCTGGAAGAAGAGGACAGAGGCAGGTTAGTACTAAGAGAGGCAGACCCACTCTCTAAATATTTAATGAGTTTCCGCACAGTTGGCCTTTTCCAGCCCTTGCCTTTGCAAAACAATAGCCATTATACTCCCTGTCGGGTTATCACATATGCATGTAGAGCTCCAAAAAAGCACATCAAAGATCACCCACGACACAAAAAAAGGCTTTTATTTTCCATGACAAACTATTACTGGGGTCATCCCTAAACACTGTAACATCTCTATGTTTTAAAGAGCACATTAGGTAACAAATTAAAACCAAACAAAAACAAAATGACCTCAAAAGCTCGTTTGGGTCAATATATCTGATATGTATCCATTATTATTGTACCCATTTTACCAAGACAACCGTGGATACTGTTTTAAAAAAAAAGATTTTTTCCATAGTTCCATTGTTTCTAGCCTTCACACCCATTTCCTTTAGTACCAACACTTAAAAAATGACTTAATTTCATTCTCTGTGGTGCTCATTTGATCCTGCCAACATTCTTGCTAGTGGTTGCTGTAACAGTGATGCGTCAGCAAATCCTGACTAATCTTTTATGACAAACCGAGAAGTTGTCAGTTATTGCTTTGCATTTCATTCTGAAAGCTAGATAATAAGATTTGTTGGGCATCTGGATAATCTGGAAAAATAAAAATGGCTGGCAGTGTGGGTACCATTAAAACTAAAATCACTGTTTCACACTACAAATCAAACGGTGCAAGGGACAAATTGTAGGCATTATGAGTGAATAACAATAATAATAATAATAATAATAATAATATTGTTGTGTTTTGGGCTGCGGGGTAATTGGGTTTTTTTTTAGTTCCTTGAAGTTTTTTTTTAAGTTAAGTCCATGACTAACTGGTCTAACTGGTTACAATAGGAGAACATTTACAACCTTAAGATTCACATTTCCCTATGAAACATCAAGACAGGCCAAAAAGCAAGTGCAAAGATTGAGACTTAGACTGGCCAGATTTGTGAAAGTACAGGTCTGAATGAATGTTATGCTGCTTTGCCAAATATGTAAATAACCAACTCATTGCTAAAAATTCACCATGTCAGCTTAATCAAACAATGCAAGCGTTTTCAGTTTTCAACTGCACAAGCTACTTAGAAAAAAGGAAAAAAAAAAAAAAAAAAAAAAAAAAACGAAATATATAAGACTTGATAATATATATAAATATATTTAAAAAAATATAGCCTCAAAATTATATAATGATTAATGGTGTGATGGAGAAAGAATAAAATAGTGGAACAAGACAAAGATGAAGACTAGTTTGAGACCATTTCAAACAAAAGAAAAAGCTAAACTTCTTCTGATGCCAGTAAAAATATACTATACCAGTAAAACTAAGCCACTGTTGGACAATGAATTATTTGTTACTGTCCTTTTCAGTAAGTCACAGAGTTGTATGCAAAAAACTTTGTTCAGACAGCTGCACCATGTTCAGCTGAGCATGCTGCTGACTTGCATTTTGAACACTCAATGGTGGAAGACAAAGGGCTTCTGAATATAATTTCCACTTTCATTCCCAGGTACACAGTTACTTCAAGAACTTACTTCCTGAAAGTAAACTATGAAGAGGTCAAAAAACAAAAAAAACTGCCCTTTATGCTTGTTTCACACTTGAGCAGGGGTAGGGCAAAGGCAATTCGCAGGCAATTATGGACTGACAGTCCACCAGCACAGAGGGTTTGTTGTCATACAGCCAGTCTGTGGGCTACTCTTACTCATGCTGTTGATGGTCCATCAGCCAGCCACAGAGAAGAGCAAAGTTACAACATACAAAGAGCTTTAAAACAACGTATTTCTGATCTTTGATTTATTTTTTCCCCCAAGCTTCTCCCACTGTCACTCCATTCCCTATTTGAGCCAACTCGTCTGACGATTAGGTCAGTCAAATCCTGATTGATTAGGACATGCAGCAGAGATTTTGGAGGACTGCACTAGAATACGTTTGTGGTGGGTGTTAACCCCTAACTGACACTTCTGTGAGACCATAATTTAAGCTTGCAGGAGACTGAGCCTTGCACTCCTTGCACTCCTTAGCTTGAGCCTCGCTACAGAGGCATATCGAGGGGTGATGTTTCACATTATTCGTAAGGATTGGTGAATAGAGACCCGCAGACTGATAACAATGCTTCTGACGAGAACACACGCTGCATTGATTGGAGATTAGGGCTGTGTGATATGACCAAAATCTCATCTCCCGATATAAGACATTTATCGTCCTGGCAACGATATAAATCACAAAAATGTAACATTTTATGTAAATTCTGTGAATCTCGGGCAACTTGCGTGAAGTGTTTCCAGCTGGGCGTCCTTTACATGGAGTCCAGTGTTTTAACCCATGCATGAAACGATACATTTTTAGACATAAGTTGTAACGGCCACCATTTTCTTTCAAAGTTTGAGTCTAAGGTTTATTTTTTAGCACCTGACGGCTCTTTTTTGCTTCTCATCCATAAACTCTCTTCAAAATAAAGAATCACGTGAAAGAGTATGCAAAGTCTCAACAGGATCTTGAGCTTTATTGTGAAAGGTTTATGTGGGAAAACAAACAAGCGGACAGCGGAGCCACGCGATGGTTTTACCGTCGTTGTTGCTAACAACACGCGCTTGTCGGTCCGTAGAGTGGTTATATTAAATATAAGAGAAAAGAGAACTTTACGAAATTAATATAGCCGCTACAGTGACCATCAAAACAATGAAAAAAATATTGCCGTAAACAGTTTATTTTACGACACCATGAAACAAACGGTAGCGTCATAGGAAACGATAGACGTTTTTATACCGTCATCCGATATATATCGTTATATCGAACAGCCCTATTGGAGAATGGCTTGAGGACGGTCTTGTCAACTTCGACATTCCACCACAGAAAGAAAAAGCTGTTGTCCATGACAATGGTGCTAATGTTGTAGCAGCTGTAAAGATTATGGTAGAAAAGCATGGACAGGCATCAGCAATTAGACGGCATTCACTGAGCTAAAGGATAAGCAGCTGCAAATGAGCACACCACAGCACATGCTTCAAGATGTAAGTATTCACTAGAATAGTATTTATCAGGTTACCCAGGCTTCTGGAACAAAGATGGCTTGTGACTACTGCACTGTCTGACCCAGCAGTGGTTCCACGAGGAAAACAACACTATCTTGATCTGAAGCCTAAACAGTAGAACCTGACTAATGAACTGAGCCAAGCCCTTGAGCCAGTTGAAAGGGCTACAGTAATCCTAAGTGGGAAACATTGTGTTACACTCTCTGTGCTTCAACAACTTGCCCAAAACCTGAAGACGTCCATATAGAGTTGAGTTTTGCGACTTCAGAAGCAAGGTTCGTTCAGGCTCATGTGCCTGAACTGATCACAGCAAAATACAAAAATTATTTTTCTGTTTCAACCTGAATCTCTAAACAAGTTCTTGCCACCTAATGAAGCATTATAGGTCCAAAGCACAGCACAGACTCTGGCACTCACTGCCAAAACAGAAGCAAAGCAGCCCAATGGAAGTGAAAATAGAAACCACCTTTCATAGTGAACTGCACCTCTGGCAATACTATTTTCACCCAAGGTCACTGTTCAACATGCTAACTATGCACATAGGCATTCATCCAGTCATATACACACTCCCGGAGATTAAAGTCAGCTTAATTTCAATATGTAACCTGAGAAGAGTAATCACTTGTTGTGGAAATGATGCAATCTTTAGGCCGATCTTCCAAAACAGTCAAATCACTATCATGAAGTCACATAAAACCACCAGACGGGAGTAGAAAACAAATCTGTGACCTTACCTGCAGTTCCAAGTGTTTTGTAGAACCGGTACTCTAAATGCAGCTGTGGTGCCCTCGACTTCACTGGTTCCTGAATGGTAAACACATCAGACCAGTGTTCAATAAATCGGACATAAACACTGGAATAAATGCAGTTTTAATGCTATGAATTTCACCTTGCAAATGTTTGTGTATGGGTCAATATTCAGAGCAACACTTCAACAAAACATCACATTTGAGCTAAAGAAAAATAGTTTGAATATACTTAAAAATATACCTAAAACAGTCACTTTGCTGTGCCCCCAAATTCTAAACTTTATTTCCAGTTAACTGTTCTGAACTTTCAAACTCAACACACTTTAAATTGAAACTTCTTTTTTTTTTTTTTTTCCAGCTCAAGTGTCAGCACACCATACAATAGAGCGAGTAGCTAAAAGCCATTTGGTTGGTAAGCTTAATACGTTGATTCTGTAGCAAATTACAACTCTCTGGTGAGCAATAATAAGGGCATGAGTCAGGAGCCATGATTTCCAGTCCAGCAGCCGCTGGAGAGACACGCCTAGCTGAGCATCTACACCTCACTCACATTTCTCCTCAAGAACAGTTACAACACTACGATTGCACCACTGCAAATTGCAGTCAAAATAGCCCATCTGAAAATCACTTTAATATCAACACCTAATACTGAACACGGAGGAAAGACTAACAGTAAGCATCTGTTTTATTCTGTTTTCAATGTGCTAATCATCTAGTTCAGATTCTCATTATCGCTGACTGTTATATTCAAGCAATTACAATAAAGCAAACCATGCTTTCAATGTTTTCTGTACCAACATTTCTGATCCTACTATTACTAATTTCCGTATTGGACCTTTTTCACATAATGAAGCGCTTTAAAAGTAATGACTTTAGCATTAAAATTGATTCTAAAAATCATCTGCAGATGTGAGAAGTCAAGCAATAAAAGCAAGAGTGCACTTACCAGTTTAATAGCTACATACTCATTTGTGTAGAGATTTTTTCCTGGAATAAGACAGGAGAGCAAAAGCATGGTTCAGATGTTTTAAAAATAAATTACACTATTTTAGAGAAAAGATAACTCTGTAATAGATTAGATGACATACTTCCAGCAACCTTTGCAGCATCCATGTCTGCTATGTCTGCTAGCAAATCATGTCCTGCATAAATATTTTAACATCTGATTGAGATTCAGCTTACCAAGCTTCAATTCGCCAAAGTTTCCACAACCGATCTTCTTGCCCACACGAAAATTTGGCCCCACCATGAGAACCCCAGAGGAGCTGGAGGAGCCAGATGGCCGCGACGGGTGTCCGCTGCGGCCTCCCTGGGACACTTTAGCGCTCCTTTGTCGGTCGCCATACTTGTCTCTTTGCTGATCCATGGTGAGAGCAGCACAGGTCAGCAGGAGCCTGGAGTGATGTACAAAAAGGCCTCCTGGGCCGGGCCCACCACAGCCACAGCCCTGGTCACTGGAGGTGCCTGGATGGTACAGTCACTCTCATGGGACAAAACTTGATGCAGCTGACCGACACTCCGACCTGTCCTCACCCTCACCTCTAAGAGATGTTAGGCCTCAACATTTGTCACAGGAAGGAGAAGGTGAAAGACCTGTAACAAACAACATATGGCAATACTTAAGATATTACCCTTTAATAAAGAACATTTTACCCTGATTAAACTCTTAAAAACCTCATTGCATCAAAAAGAATACAGATGATCACAGATTAAAATGAACCAGAAAATGAAACTCAAATGTTTAGGTGTTAGATATTAATTTTTTATGTTTTCTCTACTGCTATTATTAGATGAAAAATCTAAAAAAGAAAAAAAAAAAGAGAAAAAAAAAATCACACTTTACTTCATGGGGTTATAATACAAAAGGTTTTTTAATGACAAAATGAAAAATCCAGACTACATGTTAGGTCATAAAATTTCACTGATAGTGATTCCTCAACAACAACAACAACACATAATCTAACTTCCCCATAAGAGACCAGGTTTAACTCTCTTTGAAAGTCGTTTACAGGCTGTTAAAAAAGAGAAAAGGAAAAAAACAAAAAAAACAAAACAAAACTGTGTTTACAAGTACACAGTGCTAAACAAGGACAAATGGCTCACTCTAACAGGCTGCTGGGTGAAGAGATAGTAATCAGGTCACAGTGGTCATAGAAAACACAGCAGGTAGTTTGAGCATCAACACAAAAACCTTAAGTCATAGTTTGTGTTTCTGAAGGCATCTCACTACCTACAGCTAAACCCCGCCAGACAAAGTCAGAGGAGAATATTATGTAAACAATTATATAAAGCCATGTTGGCTTGCAAGGGCACCGAATAGGGCTGAACGATTATGGAAAATAATCTAATTGCGATTTTTTGCCCCAATATTGCGATTGCGATGCGATATGCGATTATTTTTTAAGGTCTTTGTCTTCTGTATTATTAAACAAAGACAAGCAATACATCATATAGTATGGCCAATACTATATTACATTAATTTTAAACTGTTCTTTCCTGGAAGACAGACCTCTGTTATGATGACATGAGGTGATGCATGAATTGATGACTGACATTTTTATTTAACTTCTTCAATCACAACAGTATATTTGAACATACACAATAGTTTATTTTTAGCTTACAAACATCTGAGCATAAAGTGCTGACAAGGAACCCTGGTGTAAACATTAAAATGAAAGTCAGTACAATGTGCAGATTGCAGAAATATACATAAAAAAAATCAGTGGCTTTACCACACTCAGTTTTTCGACATCTGTGAACTACTAGACAGTCATTAAATTAAAAAATAATATTAAATAAATAAAACTAATAAATAAAAAATACACACATCTTACTGATCTCTGCAGTCAGTAACATTACACATAAAGTGCAAACATAATAGCAATTGTATAAACACACACACAAACACGCCTTTAAAGTTTAAAGGCATGAAATTGGACGGTCTAGTTCTGATTAGCGTCACCGCTGTCTCGGTGGAGTTTAATAAACTCGGCCGTCTGCTTCTTGCTATCTAAAATATAACCAGACACTGGTGTAAATTCTCGACTGTCTCATACTTCTGTTTAATAAGTTTTCTGTTTGACGTTTAGTCAGCTGTGTGAAAACCAAGGAGGAACCCACCCGGGGGATTAATAAAGTTTTATTTTATCTAATCTAATAACTTTAATCTCAGCCAAACCGATTTACTCACGAACAAACAAAACACTGAAAAAAGCCCAACAATAACATTTTTAGGTTGTCTAAGTGACTTATATATTACGTTTAACCCGAGCAGCAAAACTCCGCGGTGATCTGAAAATGATGTGCCGGGAGTTGTGCCGTTCTCGGCCGCATCAGTAACCCTCGAGCTCCCGGCTAGCTGTCGAGCTGGTGGGTAGCAGACGCCTCTGAAAACGTCGAAGCACTTTTGCAAATATGGGATATCTTGATAAACCGAGCAGATATTTGATGTTTACACAACTACTTTCTCGCCTGAAAATATGTTAAAAGTTTATTTTGTGACCCAGAAAGATTAGTATGAGTAATTTTAAAACTTAGTAGCGGCCGCCATTGCTGGAAACTGGAGTTTGGCTGGGCCGCGCTATGAATTCTGGGATATGGTAGTAATTTGGACAGCCTTCGGCGCGTCGCTGTGACGTAATCGGTCTACAAATGCGGCCTCAGGAGGATGCAGCCCATGAATTTGGACATGTCCAGAGTATAATCGCAGCCTTTGCGGTTAGAAAATTGCACTTGATCATGTCGCGATATTATCGCAAATGCGATATATCGTTCAGCCCTAGCACCGAAGCTCAATTTTATGGACACTGATCCGATTGTTTTGAGCACTCAGTAGAATCCTTTTTGGTTTTAACTTCTTTCCTTACATGATTACATTAAATTATGAGAATTCAGAAGAAAAAAAAGCAGTTAATATGCATTGAACAATTACTTATGGCATATGCTTTTTATCAACTGCAAGCCTCTTGGGAAAATCCTGTTAACCATTCTCAACAAATTATAACACTGCTGAAGCACGACAAAACGTTGCCTGTTAATTAGGCCGATTGACTATTCTGCTAATTATTTACTCAAAATACCTCTTCAATACTGAAAACAACTTTTCGTGTTTTGAGGAAAAACATCAGCTACTACTGTTTTCATGACAATGCTGTAATTCCTGAGCATGGAAAAACTGCTGCTGAAAGTATTTGTGTGTGGGCTTCTGGATGACTCACGCTCAGTGTTGCCTGCACAGATCTCAGCATCAAAGACAGCTAGTTTGCTCTCAAGGGCAACTGTGCAGTGTTACTATTACATAAAACCAGGAACGGCGCAACATAGCTATAAAACAAGCTTGCAGCAAGGCCCAATGGTGAGCAGCTTCCATTGTGCAAATAAGCATTTTTAGGCCTCACTAACCCAGCATGCACCAGGGTTTACACCAGCTAAGCTAATTCGAGCTACTTAGCTGTACCTCTCAACTGCATCTGTTATGTTGCTCACTTTTACAGTGTTTGTAATGAAATGATCTAACAGATAATACATTTTCCTTTATTGTTAACTGCACAAAATGTTTGTAACTCCAACTAAACTGTAGTATTTAATTTCTGTCTATAATTATCACTAATTCGCTGGTGTCTGTCAATCCATTTTGCATCCGCATATGGCCACTTCTGGCTCCATGAACAATAGTATTACAAAATGTTAACTAAATCCTAAGTATTTAAGTCAGGATTTCACAACAGTTGATGGGGGTAGGTCCATCTTTTATATACAGAGTGTGTGTTCACGCGAAAACAGCTGCACTTTACTACTTTACGTAAAATCACAGATAACTACAAAACTAGCCTGAGCTAAACTGACCTTTGACCATTCAAACCTTTTATACCAAGCTTCAATTACAGTAAGCTAAACTGTATTCAAGTATAGCATGCTGTCCAAGTAAGAGAGCCATATTTTCGCTTATTTTTAGTCAGTTTATATGAAGGTTTCAAAACTAAATTTCCAGAAAATATAACATCTACAAAAATTAACCACATAACAACATTTGAATTCAATTTTTTAAAAGACATGGGTGGCTATGTGAATAAATGGTAAATGGCCTGTATTTATATAGCACTTTACTAGTCCCTACGGACCCCAAAGCGCTTTACATATCCAGTCATCCACCCATTCACACACACATTCACACACTGGTGATACAATAATACACGTTACACTGATGAAACCAACTTGAGCTGATCTCATCAGTCTGTCAGTCAAGAGGACAGCGCTCTGTATGAAACTTGAACATAATTTGATCCTAACTGAGTAAGTTTGTTAGTTTTTTTCTTTCCTTTTGTTTCATTTTTTTGGAGATAAAACATAAATGTGGTCTGTTTTATAAATGTATAATTTATTTTAGCCAGGTGCACTAGACTACCATAAATCATCTATGCTATAAACATGCCCTGGCATGCCTAACCTGAGGATTACCATGTAGAAACATCAAAGGCACAAAAATAATTCACGCTGCAAAAAAGACATTCAATCTTTAACAGCAAAGATGCACAGCACTAAATACTGTAATAATTAGCATTTAGTTTGGTTTATTAACTGTACTGCATGTGTTTTTCCTGATTAAAGGAAAAAATAGCTGAAGAGGAATAGGTCACATTATTACAAAGGTATCTCTTATGGGTCTAAAAGGACATACAAAATAAATCTTTTTATTACACTGGACACATTCAATCTGTGTAGATGAATTTTAGTCAATCCCTAATTAATAAAGACGAGAACAAATTTAGGGAATCCACTGGATTGTGGGATACTGTGGAGAATCAACCACTGTGAAGACCTGCGGTCTGAATAAACGGAGTCTTTAGTTGTGATGTAAGGATGGGAATCCCCTACCTTTATCCCGCTGGAGGCACAGTGTCTACTGATAAATGAAGCTATGTTTGAGGATACACACCTTCTGGCATCCTATAAAAGTAAATGTACTTCTTAGAAATAGATGAAAGGAAAGGAGTTTATAATATCAAATCCCAGATTACTGATTGAACTGCAGCAGTCAAAGATGTCATGTATTGAAAATAAACAAAAAAAGTATAGGTTGCTGGTGCTTCTTCAAATGTATTCTTCTAAATAAATACATAAATGAATGAATGAAAAAGAAATCTCCTGTCTACAATAGTTACTGTCTCGTGCCTCATGGTTCTTGGCAGAGATCAATAAAAGGAACAGATATTTTCAGACCTAGGTGACTAACAGACACCAGTCAAATCTGAAACACTCTTAATGAGAACTGATTCTTGTTTCCCAAACGCAACATTTCTGGCAAGATAAGAGAACTACTGAACTACAGTGTACATGTAATATTATGGATGTATATATTACATCCATAATAAACATACTACAGTTTCACAGTGGCTAGTAGAGATGGGCTACTGTATGTGAAGATCTGATATTGCTAACAATTAGCACTCAGTTGTTTGGTTAGCCAATGCGGGGCAGCCTGTGTGGGAAAGTCAGACCTTTTGTTACAGGTATTGATAAGCTTTTATTGGTAGCAGGGCCATTATCAATTCTGTTTACAGGTTAGGTTCTTCATCAATGACCTTGTTGATTCCTGATCTTTGTACAGTAAAAAGTAGGCCTAAAGGAGTTTTCAATGACAAAGCTACTGGGGGGGTTTTTCGTTGCTTTTTAAAAATCTCTTAAGATGAAGAGAGAAGAACAAAACCAAGGTGTATAAAAGCTTCCCTGTCATGACTTTCACATCAGCATTTTGCTTCTCTATTTTAGCATAAATGTGTCTTGTTGCAATAGATTTTTTAAATGTAAGATATCATTCAAATAATAAATACTGGCGACTTGTCTAGGGTGTAGACCATAGGGTCTTGCCCTAAAGTAGCTAGCAAGCAAATAACCAAAAATCATTCACTCTACGTAGCTTTACCCCAACATCAACAGTCAGGCCTTGTGATCACACAAACGCAAAACTGGATAAGTAAACACAGAGGTTCCAAGTCTAATATGAAACACATTCTTTTAAAGTGGTATTGCTGAGTATGACCAATCAGAAACATTGATAATTCTAATGAAAAGAAGCAAATAATTTTACACAGGAAAATAAAATTCTATAATTAAAACAATAATAATTAAGAACTTAAACACATGGTTCTGGGCAGAGAACCATTTGAAAACAATACAACTATTGCCCCAAAGCAGGGGACCAAGTGCACATGAAAGGAGTAGTTTAACATTAAAGGCAATGTATGAACATGGGGGCGTTAAGCTTTGCTCTGAATTGAAAACATCTACAACATCAATAAATTTGGACTATCTGAAACCAGGAAGGAAACCTGGCAAAAATAAAGACTGTAAGTTATCACACTTATCAACATTAGATCTCTTTAATTATTATAGAAGAAGCAGTCGGATTACAATTGTTATTCCATTCAATTAATCTTTAGCCTCACTCTTTCATCTGCAGCCTTCATGGTGTTTAACAGTCTAAGAGCAATTCAAGAATAGTTATAATTCAAATGTAAGCTTAGTCTACATGAGAATTTAATATAAGGTTAATAAGTACAGATCGGTGTCCGGCATTAGGGTCATTAATTTAAGGCATACAGTACAAAATTATTTAAATGTTTTAGGCCTAAAAGAAAAAAAGCAGGTCACTCCTAAGAATCTATATTTCTTACTGAAGCGCTACTGAAGACAAAGACTTATCAAAAACCTTTCTATCTGCGCAAGGAGGTGGTCTGTGATATCATCAATTTGTGGTGACACCATGTTCTAGAGAACTGAGACTTCTTAGCTGTTAATCGCTTATCTCAAGTAAAAGATCAGGCTAGGGGGCAAACAGTGAAAAACCAGGGTAAACCCAAAAGCTGTATCACTAAGCCACTAATGTTGCATCATAGTACCGTCACCTGCCAGGTTGTTAGGCCCTGACTGATCCTGAGACCAAGGTAGGCAGCAGCCTTCAACACACAGGTTTAGCTCTAAAAACCCTGTAAGGTTTTCTTCCTGTAGCTGGAGCTGGTTAACAGGCGGCTCGCTTTCAGTAATTTCAGCTAGAGCTAAATTAGGGAGCATGAGCTTTTAGTCAGCAAACCACTGAAAAAAAGGAAGGGGGGTGCAATTGATTTGTAGCACAAAAGAGTAAAACAAAAACAGCTCCTTATCATAAATGAATGCAAAATAAGTAATCAATTACCCCAAATATTTTGTTCTCAGTTATTGGATGCTAAAAATACTTTTTTTTTTATTATTTTATTTAAATCATTAAGCAAATTTAGGAACTCAGCATCCATCTTGAAACAAATCAGGTGGTTACTTTGAACCACCTACCTAATGAAATGAGCCTTAATTTCCATAGTTATTGAGATGGGGCATTCACATGTCTATAATCATAAGTAAAATCCTTAATAAAAACATAAACCCATACACTTGCAACATCTCTGTAGATAGCATGACGCACTGAGGCAATGTCACACTAATTCACATTATGGCGAGAGTAAGCCAAGAAAAGGAAAAACAGCACACTATGCTAAATATTTACTACCACAATGGATAGAGAGTTATACCTGACACCACACAGCTGAAACAGTCATGTAGTGGCCTGTCTTGCTGCTTGGGTACATGGATCATCCCAACACCCTGACTGACTGACTTGATAAGCTTGGAGAAACACATTAACAGTGGACTCAATGTCCCTCTGGACCTAATGTACAACTTCTTTCGTAAACAGAATAGTGGCGAAAGGTCTAATGTAACATGTCAAAAGAAGCTCAAGATGTAGTCTGAACATCTGAGAGGACACTTGATGCTAATCATATGATATGAGTTCAACTACATATATTGAGAAAATTATGATTTTGATTGATCATCAATCAGTACTATTTTTTGACCAGATGGCCAAACTCCAGCGGATGCTATATTTAGTTTTATCCTGCACTAGAACAGATTAGCAGTAAATGCAGCCTCCCTCCTTATGAGGGTATTGACTTTGTCATGGCACAGCCTATGTTTTATGATGTGCTCATTTGCACAATGGCATTTCATTAGACTGCATTAAAGCTGTCAATATTGTAATTATTCTGCTCTAATTATTGGGTTCAATAAGAAAATTTAAAAAACCTCATAAATATTTTGGATTCTTAAACACCAATGTACAAATTAGATTTGCCACTTCCTTTTTAGCTGAAAATAAATAACTGCAGTCACTTTGTAACCACTAAACTAAATCTCAGGATGCGAGACTTACAAACGATCCATTTAATGTACTTAAACCTTTGCATATTTTGAATACTTAAATGCTACTCTGTTCAGGTAGGGCAGACTGTCTCCACAATGGGGATATCCTAAATCTTTACAACTCTGAATGACGCTCACTGTGCATGAAGAGGAAATGTGTCATATTACTGGAGATGCTTTCAGAGTTGAGTTGTTGTTGCTGATCTCACATATCTGTCACATCACTGATATTCTCTCAGCTGAAAATGTGCATCGAGGCATTTTATTTTCTAGTTCTAATCCAGAAATGATGGAGGAATGTGGCATTTGCAGAAATATCTAAGTAATGTATTATGACGGCATGTTTTCAGAGCCGCTGAAATATAGAAATGTGGAGAGAATCAAAAACTAATTTGTCTGCAGTCAAATCAGAAGCACAAGATTTTATTGGATTACCATTTACTGGCAATCAAAAGCTTAGGAAACTTCATGCAATTGGTTAATAGGCAGCTTTAACACTCAGAACTATTCAAGAGTACTTTTCCTTCAGTATCACAGTCAGGAGGCACTGAAAATATATTTGAAAAACCTTGATTACAGTGCACAAATGTGCCTGTCAAAATACTACGAGAAACCGAAAGATGCTTCAAGCTGATTAGCATCTATTAAAAATTACTAATCTGTTGACTTTTTTTTTTAAACCATTTTTTATGGAAACATAAAGGCTCTCAGTGCAGTAATTAACCTTCAGTAGAAAGATCAGCTTGAGAGGGGGGCCTGCCAACAGTGCAGACTCCTACTGTGGCCGTGCCAGCTAAAGGCTGCTGCCTCTCTCCTTAAAGGCAGCAGCTCTAATGAACTAGAACTGAATTGAATTTTTATAGTCCATGCTCTTCCTCCTCTGAGAATTCACACAGTAATAACAACAATAAATAAACACATAAAAATAAATTGTAAGCATGGCAATGTGATTTTTTTCCTTAGGTTTGAACTAATGATTGTGCAAATACTGCAAGATCATCAAGAGTGTATCATGCAATTGTAAATTCACCAGTTTGAACAAACATGTTCCAGATGCGAAAACAAGTTTTTAAAAAAAACCCAATCTATTTGCACTTTGCCTAAACGTGGATCTTCCTAAGATGTGCAAACAGTGAGCCTGAGCTCTACACAAACTATTTCACATCATTTATTATGTTCTCACGATGACTTATACTAGACAATTGTTCAACTACTAATATATCAATAAAATGTGACCTTCAGAGCTGCTTTACGGAGCATGACACGCCGTTATTTTACTGCAAAATACCGATCACAAGTCATCCCATATTGATTCAGTAGCAAGACACTTTACTTTAAGACGGTCCACGTGTATTAAAATATGACTAGTAGCAAAGAAAATGTACACTGGAGGTACACACAGAAGTAAAATTTAAACTGACTTTAATCCCGAGCGTGCGCATCTGGGACGACCAGACCAGATCCAGTCCAACATTTACAACTGTGCCGACGACGAGCAGGCTGACAGGGGCCCTGGGTTCAACCTTTCCTATTGTGAGCATCCCTCACCTTGTAGTAAGCAGTCAAGGCACTAGGTTTTCTATGTGAGGAAGTGCTGGTTAGAGGCAGCTGAGGCTGATCGATCCTTTACCAGCAGGCCTAAGGTTAAATCAAAACAAGGAAGAGAGGTGGCAGCTGCACGTCAGCGTTTCAAAGCCAGCCGTATCATTAGTGTCGGTCACGTCGAGTAGTAGGTAAACGAACCATCAGCTTAATAAAATTACCTTCACGCCACCGTCAAACCAGACTGATCAGCCATAAAGCTAACGTTAGCAAACATTACTTAGCCACAATGGTTGGACTGGCTCAAAATATAGTGTGAGAAAAATCACAGGATGGACATTTTCATGTTAATTATGAAAACAGAGTAGTTTTAAAGGGCAGCAAATGTAGCAGCCCCTCTCTCTGCCTGGTGTCAACGCCTTAACTAGCACCTACTGATGGCTAGGTGACAGCTGGACCGAGTGCAACAAGGAAATTAGCTCCGTTAGCAGCGAAAACATTAGCCAAGAACCAAAAGCCTGCAACTAAATGCTGCTTGGCTAGCAAACACCTCAGGCTCACCTTCGCTGTGGGAAATCCAGACAGTCGGGGCACAGCTTGTCGTTTTTCGCAACAAAAAACGCCGCCTGTGATGGGGGTTTTCTGTGCTGCCCGTTGTTGCTGTTGTCTCAAGCTAGAACAGCCGAGCGGCTCTCTCCATTCTTCGTCTGCCTTCGCTGCTCGTGAGAGGTTCGAGCATACCGGATGTAGAAAGACGGCACCGCCCGCTTCACCACGCACACTTCCAGGTCACACTGAGATTGGCTAATTAGCGATGAGACCATTGACTGTAAAATCAGTCATTGGTCATCTTTATCTAATGCACAAATACATACTTCTATAGTTGTGTACCCTTATACACATGCTCTACAGAGAAAAGAAAGTTTTATAGTTTGAAAATAGGGGCATCTCAATATCAACCATATATATAATTTGTGCTATATACTGGGATATTTATAATTAACCTATTTACGTATATTAGAAGTATTTTATTAGATTTTGTAACTTAGTAATATTTAATTAAATTTAGTCAGTTACAGTTATTACTGTCTGGGACCAGCTGTGACCACATTACTTTGTTATCATGGATTAATAAAGTATTTTGATTATTTTATACAGTCATTGTGTAATGCATTACTGTTTTTAGCGATGGACTTGCACAAATTCTGGTGCTTGAACTTCCACAATATGTGAAATATAGAGCAATTTCAATTAAATTCGATTTGATTAACTTTCATTTAAATAGCACCAAATCATAATAACAGTCACCCCAAAGTAAAAACACTACAATAATACACACACACACACACACACACACACACACACACACACACACACACACACAAAAACAATCAGACGGTCCCCAATGAGAAAGCACTTGGTAACAGTGGGAAGAAAGCTCTGGCAGAACCCGGCTCAGGGAGGGGCGGCCTTCTGCTGTGACAGGTTAGGGTTGAGGGGAGGAAGACGGGACAAAAGTCATGTTGTGAAAAAGAGCCAGAGATTAATAAGATTGACAGTTCCATTATTTTTGTGAGTCTAAACAAATCCAGCATAAAAAAATTGTGTTGGTACTTTTGTCAATCAGGGAACTCAGGGTTGTTTTATTCCTTGAAGGAATAAATAAAAAAGGATGTAAGTTGTCTTATTACAAGGATGCTAAAGAGGGTGGTGTCAAAATATTGTGGCACTGCTTATATGTAATTTCTGTGTATTTTACACTCTAACTCATTTTAACCCTGTGCCATAACCTTCTACATAACCTGATATGCACCTCTCAAGCAATGTAACTACATGTCAGATTGATGCATACCACGACTTGAATGACATGGTTAGGACGTAGCTTTCCAGCAGAAGTCTAAATCAAGCTTTACAAGCCAAGACTGGAGCCTAGCGCAAACTTATTATACAGACTAGCCCCACTCTGACACCAGCCCATTGGTAATTTTTATTACACTGTATTGCCCAATCAAGTCTCTTAACACAACCCTCCCTTACCTCGCTTGTGCACCCTGTAGAATTTGTTTTAGTGTGGAAGATATGGCTGATAAAGATGGAAACAAAAGCAAAAAGGTGGAGCTGAAAAGCTAAAAGAGCATATTAAAGCATATGTTGAGCATATGTTTTATAGAAAATGATGCTGGACATTAAACAAAATATGGAGTACTTAAAATGAGCTCAATCTGAAACATATGAAGCAGTAATATTAATTACTTTAACATCGATTGGGAATGTATTTCTGCAGAATAATTACTTTCACTTTTGATATCTTATGGAAAATTTTCCAATAATGCAATTCTATGTCTACTGAGGTTTTTTCATTGTGGTTTATTGCATCATTTCTTAAAGGAATGATTTGAAAAGTTACCAAAACACTAGTCGTTTTCGGTTAATAATAAATAATTTTGGTAACATAGTAGATATTTATTCAACTAAAAAAATTATTAATATTTTGTAATTCTTCAGCCAGGAAGAAGTGTGGAAAGTTGAAGATGTCCATATACAGTTTAACTTGTTAAATTGCTGAATAGGGCAGGAAGATGTTATGTGTGTGAGAGAGAAACAGAGTGTGAGCGGGGCAGGAGAGGGGGTCATCTTTGCAACCTATCTATCCATCCATCCATAATTGGATCTTCTACAGTCACTGTATCAAGACTCCAACATGTCTCAGAGAAAACACCACAAAAAAAAGTTTCCCCTGACTCTCCTCTCTGAGGTGACCAGTTAAATTCCCCAGAAGACGTATTATCCATCTGAAGGGCATTAGCTGAAAGTAAGAAAACCACAATCTAGAGAACAGGGTTCAACAAATGCAAGCAGAGAACATTTAACTAGAGGAGAAGTGCAGACAAATGGAACCCCAAAATAAACACTTGGAAGAAACGCACAATGAATTTCTCATGAACTGACAAGACCAACAAATTAACAATACACAATAACAGCCCAACATTTAGATTATAAATGAAGGCTGGGAAATAATATTTGGATAAGTACGGCAGCAGATTATAGACCTGAGAACAAGAAATAAGAACAAGATAAAACACATAAAGACCTACAGTGTACGCTTCAAAAAATGCACTGGAGAAATCAGGAGTTAGAAGACATGTACAACCAAGTACAACGGAGGAATACAGACACGAGGCAAAGCTAGTACAGGAGGCAAAATAAAAAAAGAACTGAAAGAAAAGCTTGAAGAAAAACAAGCAAAATTAGAAGAACTGTAGAAAAGATGCAAGAAAGTTGAGAGGGGAAACGCAGAAGCAATCGATGACATAAAAAACCTCAGCGCTCCAGGAACAGTGACTGAAAAAGAAGAAAAAAAAACGCTTCTGCTTTTTCAAAAGGAAGGATTCTCCTGCTTTCTCACTTGATCATGAGGAGGCGTAGTCTCGTCTTCCTCCACCTTTTCTCTCCCCTTCCTCTCCGATCATCTCTCTGTTGGTCTCCCCTCCTTCTTCATCATTTTTCACCCTCACACCCCAACCAGTCACGGCAGTTGACTGTCCCTTCCTGAGCCTGGTTCTGTCAGAGGTTTCTTCCTATTTAAAGGGAGGTTTTCCTCCCCACTGTCACCTAGTGCTTGCTCAGGGGGAATTGTTGGGCTTTTCTCTCCTATCTCTTTCCTTCTTTTTATTTGTGTTTTTCATTTTTTTTCATTGAGAACACAGGGTAGGGAGATAGGAGGAAAAAATAAAGACAAATGAATCTTTTTTTTCTTACATGCATCAAATCAATGTCTTCATTCAAGAATAATTTAAGAAATCAATGCCAAAATTACACATCTCCAAGTCTTAAAGACAATCCTAAACCAAATAGAAACAGCTCTGCACTGGACTACACCCCCTGTAACTAGGGCCCCTGAAAATAAGCCACTATAACTAGTCTCTATCATGACCTAGCACACAGTAGTCCTTTAAGCTGCATACCAGATACTACTCACCAATCCCACCATATTAAACTCTGCAGCTTCACTCACAAAAGACGGGCTACATCTGCCAAAACATGCAATAAACATACTGAACTTTTTGCCTGTATTCTGCACTTGTGTTCACGTCCAGCCTTCTTCCACGACAGATTCTTTAGTGCTTTTGCAGGTATCAGGTTAGATAGAAATGATTTTTAGACAGTTGTTCCATCACACTTCAGCAATAGGAAAACATCAGTTAATCTAAATTTCCATAATCTAGAAATTTGAAGTCACTACTCAAGAAATCTCTGTATCACAATCTCTTTATGACTGCGCATGGATAAAGGAAGATAGTCTAGGTGTAGCATAGACAGCATGAGCTAGAAAATGAATAAGTTGATTAAGTTAATCTTATTCAAGTAAGAGCAACCTTTTTAAAGGGTAAATTTAACTTGATAAAAACTTCAGCGTATAGGGATGTGCATTTTGTTTTTTGCAGAAGTCAAAACCAACCTTCAAAATCTTTGTAAAGAGGACAGTGCTAACCAGTGGTCAATGTTACATGTACAGTATAAGTCTAGAAGATCACAATTTATCTCAGTTCCCCAGTGAAATGGAAAATCCCACCAAACACATAAAAAAACCTCACATAAACAAAAACAAGTGTCCCAAAGCTGAACTAATGATTTATTTTGTACATCTACATGTACAGCATTTTCAGGAAAACGTGTGTACTAATGCAAAGTGGTTACAAAAATAAAGCACATTCTTACGTAAATATGACATGACAGAAAAACTACACTTACAAATGCTGATTAAGAAAATAAGGGACCATCTCACTTGAACATCTTTCTGTCATTGTTAGACAAGTTTCTCAAAACAAAAAAGAATGGTTAGCAATCTGCACAAGTTCTGTTCAGTGCTTTATATGTGCACACTTGTACATGTCAGTCACTCTCATGGTTCTAGACAAATCTCTGGAGCAGTTCCCAGTGGTTTCCTTTAGGCCTCCACGTCTGACAAAATAGGACCAAATATATACTCTTGAAGAAACTGACATAAACATAACTATCATATGTGTCACTGTAGAAAATACTACCAAAGCAGAGGTTACATTTTCACACCCTGCGCTCACTGTAACAACTTATATCATTTTGTAACGCCTCTGACAAGCTTGTAACCTTGTCAAATCTGCCTCTATCATCTAATACGTAATCTATGATATACTGTTTGAATGTGCTAATACTCCTGGTACATGGCCCCAGTTATCAATAGTGTTTGTTTGATAATATCAAAAAAACCTCTTGAAATAGAACAATTCATTTTAGTGCATCAAAACATTATCTGACATGCATCAATCTGTTAGTGTGGAATGACTCACATATGCCTATCTTCTAATGTAAACTGTAGGCAATGCTACCTTGGGACAGTACCTCCATGTTAAAATAAACAAGAGACATAAATATATATCCCACTGACAGGACGGTGAGTTTTACAGACACTCGTGTCCCTGTTAATCTCTGCTGGATTCTTGCTTTATACCATCTTAAATCAGAAACATAAACAAGGCAATATACCAGAGAAATGCTGTGGAAATGTGGCGCTTATCATACTGAAGTACTGTACAAGATAAGAGAAGACGATGTCATTAAAAAGACAAAAGAAAAAAAACGGACGGAAGTTTCTTGTGTGTTTCAAAATTGTCCTCTCAGTTCCTGCTTATAGAGGTAAAGTGTTCAAAAAGGCAGTCGGGGTCTTTAAAGAGTCTCCCTCTTCATCAAGCT